CCCACAATGCAGTTCGGCGAAAAGTGAGGCAAAGTGACGTCACCCCATTCAAAGTGAATGGGCAGAAGCGTTCCAAGATTTTTTAACGCTGCTGTGTGGACGGTCCGTAACAGGGATGAAATAGAGGGGTGTGAGGCATGGCTAGAATGGGTGATCTGCTTGGTATTTTGAGCAAAACACATCATAGACATGTTTTTTATATATCTGAGACCCATAATGTATGCCTAAAAATAGCATGATAGGAAACCTTTAAAACTACCCTTTACCAAACAGAGAGTCATATTACAGAGACATGTGTGAAACGGTAAAAAGGAATAGTGTCAACCATGGCAGAGAAAAAAGAGTTTGGTTGTGGCAGCTGCCCTTCCTCCATGGAGCCGGTTGATGCAGGACGGCCACAAGGTCGACACATGTTGACCGCTGAGTCACTGCGAGCTGCCGTCCTGTGGGAGGCGTATCTGAGGCGGGAGATCAATAAAGCGCCCGTATCATGCACATTAGAGCCAGCTGACTGAGGGATTTTCCCCTGCTGAAAGGCCTTAGTCCCGGGCTGCTGATATGTTCTGGGTGCTCCTCCAAATCATTCCTCACCACCATGTCTCATCGAACAGTTCAGAGACCTTTGTGCTGATGTGAATTGCAGGCTGTGAATGTTCTTGTCTCTCTTATTCGTCTGCGGTTTGTAGAAATGTTATGAAACTGTTTTATGAAGCTGCATGATTATGTCATAAATTATTATTAATCAGTATGAATTACTAATCCAAATTACAGTATTTGTTTTTTGCATTAAAAAGCACATGTTCCATACTTTTAAAGTGCAGTATTTATGAAGTCAAATAATGAAATCTCTTTTAGTATTCATCAAGTAAGCACAGATCTTATTTTAAAAACATATAACATACTGTTAATATTATCTCAGGATCAAGCTTTTTGATAAGAAATGACAGGGTGTTTTACCATGGCAGTAAAGTCTGCTCTACTTTTTTCCTGCATTATCCTGGATATGTCAACTGTGCCTGCTTGACTCGTTGTTGCAGTGTGATGATTTTATTGGTTGAACTCTCACTGAAATCGAAATCTGCAACAACTAATGTGAGTACTGCGGGTTTTTTTTGTCTGCTGCACAAATGTCCTGGATGGAAAAGCTTTATCATGAAATCAATACGTGCAAATTATGAGAGTATGTGCCACAACAGGACTCTCTGTAAAGTTAAATACCTTGATATTAACAAAACAAATAAGATGCAAAAACTCCTATCAAGTTATGATTTTGTATTAACTATAGCACTCTCAAGCTGCAAACTAAATATAAGTTATTTTAGACAAGGACTAAAATCAGGAAGTGCTGTACAGTTGACCTTATAAAGCCAAATCTGCAAAACAGCCTCTAAGCATTGAGGCAGGTAGCACATATCCTAAACTGATACATGTCAGCTTTAAGCTTGACATCCCAAACATTTACTCTGAGGTTGTTCCGGTTCAGGAAGATGTTGAATGGAGTGATGAAGTTACAAGAAGAGGTCTGTTCATCCTCTGCTGCTCTCAGGAGTTACTGGACAGTTTTTAGTGTTTGGTGTTCATTACTCGTTGAGCTGTCAGTATATTTTCTAAGAACATGTTGGCTCTCTCCTCCTGTGTTTACTAAAAGCAATAGCAGATCTTTGAAAATATGGGATGGCATTAGAACAGGCTACAGGTCTCTGTCCCTGTGCTGATGGCTGACCACATCGTATGGTGGTAAAACACACAGACCTGTGCGCTGACTCATATACCTTCCCTCTGGGCCCCAGGGGAAGTTGTATCATTAGAGTACAGTAAATCCCCAGACACACACCTGATGACACAAAGATGTTATTGTTGCATAGCTGGACAGGCAAGTTGTCAGCTTTATATATTTGGGGTCTAGTTTATGTGAAAGGTGTCTGTACCAAACGGTACGGTCCACCCATTATCTCTTTAACAAGAGACAAACAATATAGTAAGCTTTTTTTTTGGTTTCTAGGAAAACCGGGAATATAAGAGCCATGCTGGACCTGCACCTGCTGAATGTGTCGTGTGCACACGATCTACTTGCTTACTTAAAAAAAAGGGCTGGAATGGGTCCAAGCAGCGCCTGGTTTAGCAACACAACAGATATAAAGGGCACTTGCATTCGTATCACAGGAAGATACTGCATTCCATACAGGGTATCTAGCCTTAAAATGCTACTTCCTGTTCCTTTTTGCCTCCTAACAATATTTTCAGTGCGTGGATAAGTGCTCAGTGATCATCATGTGGTTCCACTGGGACTACTTTACATGTAGTTGGATCTGCAACATCCCCAGGCCTGGACAATCAAAAAGGAACTTTGAACATTTGGGGAAAATCGACACACAGGGAATAACACTGAAGATTAAAATACTTTTACATAGGACTGAGTCATGTGATTGAACAAATTGCTAAAAGCATTTGTCCAAAATATGATTCCAAATCACATTTAAAACAATGAAATTGAAATTCTTGCAATTCTTCTGCATCAAAATGTTTTTGGTGCCGTGATGGGATCATTCATTTGCACACCATCATGCTATTTTACTGATAACAACTGTATCAGTGTTGCTGGAATCACTCACACTGCAACACTTTACAATAATGTTAAGTGGGAATGATGTGTTGCTAGAAATCACATCACAGCAGCTTTGATCAGCAAGCAGGGCCGACCCCAATCATCTGACCCAAGCATGCCTTAAACGTGCATTCTTTCTAATCGCCATCAGTTATGACTCCTGCAGTTTCACAAATAAGTCAGAATGTATAGAAGTCTATGAAAACAAGACCCTCCTTCTCATTGATTTGTTACCTCAGCTAACATTTTTAACCTGACTTCATGCTCTCAATCGCTAGTTTCAAGTGTTCTTCACAATAGGATGATCATTTTGTTAATTATTGTCCCATTTAAAGTAGAGTAGATGATAAAGTAGGATATGTTTAAGGGCTTGGCTACCTTTTGATTGACAGGTCGCTACCACAGGGTTGTTTAATTTGGGTGTTGCTTTTAATTCCGTCTTAGAACTCAACCCTTTCAACAAGTGTATTCAGTTAAGTTAATTGTTACATTATAGTCACCTAGTTTACTTGTACTTAGCTCTACCGTTTGTGTCTTCTCGTTGTTACTTCTGTAAAGAAAAAATGTAGATGCCGACGTCTACATTTCCAAGGGGGAACCGCTTCACCTCAACAAGAACTGAATCTCTTTATCTGAAATCCATTCGACCCGGCATTTTGTTATTTTGTCTGCTTGCATTTGGTTTTTGAATCCCCCCCCCACCCCATGGCGAGGAGAGAGAGGCAGCCGTGTTGCTGGTCCATTCGAACAGCCAAGTAGATAAAGAGGGTCTGAGAGCTAAGAATTCAGGTCACGGAGGAGAATTTTTTTTTAATGCAGCTCATAGCTTAGAGTTACCCAGGCATGTGCACATGTTGCTAGCAAACACTACAGACGTACTGTTCACCCAAAAAATTACAATCTGATAAAAATACAATTGTGAATTTGTGGTAGATAATGGAATATTTTTTATCCTCTTATCAAAATCTGTTTTTTTTGCACAGCCCTCTTTCTAAAATGACATTCAACTTAACAGTATATTACTTTACAAACTACAACAGGTTTGTAAAAATGTGCTCTCCCAAAGGGGGTTCATGTCCGAATATATTTGGCCTCAACAAGTCATTCAGAAAAGATTCTGTCTCTATTCATCCTTTTTCCAAAGGAGTTTGAAGTCTTTTTCAGCGCAGCCCTGTCCTCTGATTGACGTCATGCCTGGCCAGGGGTTCACTCTAAAATAGCTTTCATGGCTAAGTTAGGAAACTCATAGCATACTGAAAGAATGTTTAAAACAACAAACAATGAAGCCGACTGTAATGTCTTTCCTCACATGTACAAAGAGGTTTGTGTCAAAAGAGAACCAGCTCGAGTCTGCACTCCAGTAGATATTTCTAAAAATGTGCCCGCCCTTTGAGATGGTTTGATCACATGAAAGGTTGCCAAAGAGATCTGAGCTCTCACTGTTCTCATGTGCTGTGGTGACCCCGTGTGTAATGAAGAGCTGCTCGTAGCTGTGTGAATAGTTTTATTTTCATCCCAAGTAGCACTCCCAGACTATAAGTCCAGAAACTGTTGTGATTGGCTAAGACTTTTTATTATTATCACATACTCCAGTGTCTACGTCCAAAAGCAATAGTCATATGTCTACTGTCTCTCCAACAGTCTGAAATCACACCAGGAATTTGCACTCTAGGCCACAGGTTTCTGCACTTGTCAAGTTAGATTAATACTCCTCTTAATTCTGTTTTAAAACGGAACATAATTTAAGCAAATGTCTCCATGCATCAAAAGTAGATAAAATATGTATACCTAATTTATACGTGATGTATACTTGTGTTTTAAATGCTGCATCTTTTTTGCATTTGCTCATTTACCTTTCACCTGACCACTGTTTTTTAAGGTGTTGCTTTTTGGCTGCTTTTGCATTTGTGTCAACTCAACCTCTAAACAGCCGGACCAGATTTCTGTGTTGCTTTTCAACTTTTTAAAGTTAATGCACAAGGTTATTGTGCATTAACTGTGCAATAACCATGTGCCATACTACTATAACCATACTACTACATACTGAATCTGTGTGCTGCATAATGCAGACCAAATGAACAATTAAGCATGCCATTACCAGCAGACTGTTCACACTCAAGTAAACTCAAGCAATACGTCCTCCCTGCGTCACATGCACAATGCATGTGTTGCTAATGATAGTAACGACCATGTTCCTATTCCGAGCCAACATTCAATACATCTTACTGAGTATGACTAATGTGTTAGTATGCTGTGTTTGAACACAGCCTTAGTTCATACTCAACCCAAGTCTTTATGTTTTGTCCACTTGTTGATAATGTCAGATCTGATCATAAAGTCGAACTTTCTTTCAAGTTGTATTTTAAATTGTTTTCTTTCCTCTTTCTTTCTACAGATGACACATCAGCTACAGCCGTCAGCAGGGTAGGTTTTCTTCTTTATCGTCGTGTACATATTTATTCAAAAAGTGTACATCTTTTATTACCTTATCCCCTTATCTCTAGTTGCAAAAGCCAACCTTATTGACACTATAACTGAAATAATTCCAAATAACACAAAAGTTACGGATTCTAAAATGTCTCGTTGTACTTAACTAAAGTGCAGATTAACATTGCTCTTGGAAAACTCTTGTCTTTGTCTTCATGGTCTTTCAGAGCATTGTGAGTATAATTTTACAAATTCATGCATTATTTCAGTATGATGCAGCATATAGCATTAATGCTAATGTTGCTAACAGTGGTGCTGTCCAGAAAAGGCCAGTCTCTGTGACTGTTCAGGGCAACATCAAATAGATTAACCAGGAAAAGAAGCTGCTGCATTGTTAGCATGTTCTGCGAGTGACTTGGCAGGGATTTATGGGAACAAGTGGCTCCCCTGTGCTGCAAACACGTATGTTCACACCTTTATCATCCTGACACCCTCACAGCCCTCGGAGGCCTGGTGTCAGCACCCGCAGCAGGGCCCCTGATCCGGGTAAAGGGACTTCACACACAGAGAAAAAAAAACAAGGGCCACTCGACCCCTCGGTGCGTCATCCATACGTCTGTGCAAACAGGATGTGGGAGGATAGAAGGCTTCCCTTGAGGGAGGCTTTCTAGTACGCCACTCTCCCTGCCGTCCTGCCCTCACCCTCTCTTCAGGCGCAGAAATAGACGGCTCTGTGGCCCGACAAGGCAGGAGGTCTGCCTCTTACATAACCACACTTTAAAGCTGAGGCTGAGCAGCAGAGCTTGCCGGGACTCTAATCAGAGCAGAGGGGCTCAGGTGGCCTCCTTAGGGAGCATGCATCAGTGGAGGGGGGTGTAAGGGTGGGGTGGAGGGTAATATTGTGATGAATGGCTGTGTCTTTGTGAATGGCAGGAAGATGATACTCTTTCATTCAAAAGAATTCTCCCAGTTTGAGTAATAGCTAGCTGCTGCAGTAACAGTACAGATTGCAGCATGTTGATTTTTGGAAACTCAATCTCAGTGTTTATGCAAAGCTGTGGAGTTGCAATATCGGTGTGCCTTGTGTCCAGCAGTACCAGGACTCAAATATGCAGGGTGTGGTGTACGAACTCAACAGCTACATGGAGCAGCGCCTGGACACTGGAGGAGACAACAAACTCCTGCTCTATGAGTTGTGCAACATCATCAAAAAAGGTGAAAGAAGACTTGGTTCAGCTTATCAAAAACAACTCTCAGCTTCAGTTCACATCACACTGGTGTCTTTATAATCTCCATATGTTACTGGAATTGAATCAAACATATTTTGACAAGAAGAATTGCTGTGGTTAATAACTCAAGAAATAATAACAAATTCAAAGAAAATGAGCATACATAAAAAAGTTATTTTTAGGACATTCTAACAATGGACATGGTGCATTTCATTTCATTGTTGTCAAAGAGTCAAACCAAAAGATCATTTTCACCCAAACCACACTGCTCATTAACTTCTTGATCATCTGTGTATTCACTGTCGATCCTCCGGTCTCTCGGCTTCCCATTGTATAATAACATGACCTATATATGAGTGTGAAATGGGACTGAAGAGGAGGACTGGGAATGAGATGAACTGGATGGCGTTCAAAGCCCTCGGTCAGAGTGCCCTTGTTGTTATGTGGGACATTGTTAATAGATTGTTATTAGATTTTAACTGCACTGTTATGTCCTTATTTCATCTTTCCTCTCAGGTAGACTCACCTCTATTGTTTGACATTTCTATATGAAAGGATGTAACACGAACACACAGCTAATGTTGTCCCTTTTGTGTGACCCATGTGTCTTTTATTTCTACAGCAACAAAAGCTGATGGATTTGCACTTTATTTTTTGGGAGAATGCAACAAAGTAAGTGGAGAGGACATTTGCTAAATACATTTTACACTCTAATTCAGTTCATGTATTTAATTTACTTTTCTCGCTATATCTGTTTCCCTCTCTGTTCTTTTCTGTTCTTCTCTATAGAGTTTATGTTTGTTCACTCCAACGGGGACCAAGGATGGCCCTCCAAGCCTCATCCCCTCGGGCCCCATCGCATTTGGGACAACCATCGCCGCTCATGTTGCCAAAACTCACAAAACACTGCTAGTAGAGGACGTCATGGGGGTGAGGCTGTTTTCTTTGCAACCAGTTCAGATTTACTCATAATAGGAATCTAACAAAAATACTGCATCGCAATGATCTTTGATAAAAAAAAATAATAATCAGACATTTATTTTTTACAAACAGACCCATCATTAAAATTATATGAAATGCTAGAATGGCAGAAAATGCTGTTTCAGGTGTGGAGGTTTTCAGATTGTCTCAGTTTTATGTGTCGAGATTGAACACAAAATAAGACATTAACTTGGACTTTGGAAACACAGATGGGCATTTTTCATCAATCAATTAATCAAGATGATTTTTTTTCAAATCATTAGTTGTTAGTTGCCCTAATTTCAATTCCTACATTTTCTGCTGGGGGAAAATGTAAGTATTTTTGTTCTTCGTCATCTATATCCGTGGATTTCGCAGCTAAACTCCTGTGCACTTCAGGTGAAATAACCTTTATTGATCTGTGTTGCAGGACGAGCGCTTCCCCGACGGCACAGGGCAGGACTCAGGGATCCATGTTCACTCTGTCCTGTGCCTTCCCATCATCACTGCCATCGGGGACCTCATTGCCATCCTGGAGCTGCACCGGCAGTGGGGCCAGGAGCCCTTCAACCTCAGCCACCAGGAGGTCAGTCTGACCCAAAACACAGCAATAGGGGGAGGCTGGAGCAAGGCTCACAGAACTACAGTTAGCCTGGTATTCACCTTAATCTGGATTAATTAAGATCTCTATTAGATTTGTGGGGTTCAGATGATTGTGTAAAATCTTTATGCTGTGGTTATGTTATACTAGTTGCTAACAGGTTGCCAAAGCAAGTTCAGTGAATGAACTTTGAGGCTTTACAATCCAAATCTTTCCACAAACCATCTCTTGACAATATTTTCTAAATGACATAATGATTATGAAGTTATTTGTTGTCTCATTTTCTTTGATTTTATTCAAACCTGCATCAGTTAATTTTTTCGGTGTGACATAAGGTGAACCAAAAGAAATCAGCTCGCAACTTTCAAACTCTCCATAGAACTAATAGAAATAATTCTCATTATTCTTTATAGTTATGTGATAAAAAAAAAACATCTGTTAGTGCAGCTTTAATTGTATTTTGCTCAAATTTAAATCCACAATACAAACATGCAGACGCAGCAATGTTACAGGTGTCTGTGTGCCCTGAGTGGCTGTCAATCTGTAGACCAACTGTTTCTTCTGTAATTATAAGAGCGCCTGATGTGCGGAACAGATCATTATGTTGTTATATACAACAGAGGAAATGTGATTAAACCTTGTTATTGTGAAACTTGTGTTAATTGTGATATATATTATTATTTCCTGCAGCTAATCTTCACATTCTTTTCCAGGTTGCAACAGCTAATTTAGCATGGGCAGCAGTTGCCATTCATCAAGTACAGGTGAGCAAGCTGTACTGTAACACATCACTAAAGACTCAGCAAGGGGGAGCCTACCCCGTCCCAAATATTGTGATGATCTTGGATGACTTTGTTTGTTCTGGTTCTGCACTGGGGCACGAAAGGGCGAAATCCACTGTGTACAGGAACTGGGTTGTAACTGGGCCCAGTCCAATCAGCTAAGCCACAGATTCAACAAACAGCTCCCTGTGGGTGTCATTACGCCCGAGTGTTCTCATATGAACAGCACAACACCTCAGTGGAGCCACAGTGGACCTCTGAGCCTGAGCGCTGCGGCACGCTGCAAAACATATAGAGATAACTATGTAGAGATCACTGCCCCTCTTTTTTGGTACGTGTTAACATGTGTGCACAATATACTTTTAATTACATAGATTCACCTTAACATTGTAACACTTAACACTTTTTCAGGGGGTGCAATATGTTGTTCTCTCCACTATTGTTTGAATGAAGGTGGATGCCTAGATTCCTGGTAAATAAGAGAAATAAATCCCTTTTTTATGTCTAACAAATATAGATATTCAGTGGTTCATTGTTATGACTTTCTGTCGTGTTTCTAACATATGTATTTTATTAAATTCTCCCAAACCACATGTATGAGTTCCCAATTATCTGAGCCATATCCTCAGCATTAAGGATATGCAATTGGGCTGAACTGAATAAACTTATGAGGCGTATAACACGCACAGTGAAATATTTTAAATTGTACAAGTCTATGTTTGTTAACCCTCATTTTTTTGTGTCCCATTGTGGTAGCGTATATTTATACTGGCTGTATTGTACCAGGGTTTATGTTATTGATCATAGCGTGATGTAATGTGGATATTATCCTTTTAGTCAGTTTGTGTTAATAGTTTGTTACGTTTTCTCAAGAGAAACCGGGAACATACTTTGCATATTTTTAAGTGTTTTATAAAAGTGAAGTCAACAAATGTTTCAAAAAGCTGTGTTGTTACTCAAACTCCTGAAAACCCACAGCCAAGTGTGTGGACACCAAGTTTGTTTGTTGACAGTACACACATGATGCTGTACTGTATGTGTTCAGTGAGCTATGTGCGATACGTCTCAGTGTCATGACCTATTTCTTCTTTGTCTTTCCAGGTGTGCCGAGGCCTCGCCAAACAGACTGAGCTCAATGACTTTCTTCTAGACGTGTCAAAGTAAGAGTTGCTGTTGGGACAGTTTTCCTAACTCTAAATTATTGCTCATAATATACATACTAAAAGTGTATTTACATCACATCAGTGTCATTTTATTATAAATAAATTAGAACGTACATATTTTTATCATGTCAGGTCAAACGTTAAATAAAACTTTTGGTAACACTTTATTTGGATACCAGATTTCTTATTCGTTGAGATTCAACAATTCAGCTGTTTGGCTGTGTCTGTGTACATGTACTTGAATTATTCACGCAACATGTGTTTTACCAATAAAAAAAAACCTCTAAGAGTATGTTATGTTTGAGAGATAATGAATCTTCACATATACTATAGTGGTAAATATCTACAGACAAAGCAAAACAGTTGAACCTCAAATACTAAGCTTTTGAAATGTTGTACATACTCAAGATATCTTAATAAAGTATCACCTATTATTTCACACAATAAAAACAAATGACTGCATTTTAGGTTAGCTTTCATGTCTTGAATGTGAACGTCATCAGAGCTTCCCATTTGTCAACATCTCAATGCACCATTTCTTCTTTTCGCACAGAACATACTTTGATAACATTGTGGCAATAGATTCTCTACTTGAACATATTATGGTGAGTGTGATTTCTGCAAGTATGTGTTCATTCACATTGTCTTCAAGGCTACACATCCTGCGAGTGTGTGTTATGTAGGTTTATGTGTGTTAAAAGGAAATAATATATGATCATAATAATAGGTATACTACTCCTCAAAATAATAGTTTGTTATTAATATAATAAATACATTGACACACTTAATACATGTTTAGGCTTTGCTCAACATAAAATAGGAAAGTGATTATCAGTATTTGGATTTGGATCAGTGTAAAATATGATTTTCCTGTTTTTCTACTAAAACCCACTTCTCTGTTTGTATGTATTTTATTGCTTTGTGACTGTGTTGTCAATCCCAGGTCATTCAAGTCATCTGGTTCAAACACTATAATGAACTGGAATGACCTGTATTTATACTGTGTGTTTTTTACATTCTTCACATTTAACTGTTTCCCAAGAAAACGTTTAAACTGCACTATGTTTTGCTAGATGCATGTGTTTATTTGTATTCAAACTCTCAGTATTGCTTATAAGGTTCTGTCCCTGGTGTTGTTTTGCAGATATATGCAAAAAACCTGGTGAATGCGGACAGGTGCGCACTCTTCCAGGTAGATCACAACAACAAAGAACTGTACTCCGACCTGTTCGATATCGGGGAGGAGAAAGAAGGAAAACCTGTCTTTAGGAAAACCAAAGAAATTAGGTGTGTAAGACTAACATTATTTCCTTCACTGTGCTAAATTCATTACATTTACAAGTGTCTACCTTTGATTTTACATACATCTTAGCTTTTATTGCAAAGTGCTAGTTTATTTTGAAGGGTTAGAAGAGGTGAGTTTTTCGCTCTGCACATCCACAAGGTGTGTTTCCTGCCCCTAGAAGACATTGTTAACTATAGTGTACAGTAAACAAGTTCCTCTGGTGACAGAAAGCAAAGAAAGAAATGCTTCCACTAATAGAAAGTCAATTGAAATACTGGGGGATAAATGTTATTACTTTAATTAGTTGTGATACCATGACAGTGGAACATCATCACTTTTTACCCTCTGAATACAAATATCTAAATCTACACACTTTGTGCTGTAAATTGCATTTCTAAAACCGGTTTGAACATGGATTTTCATATTATTGATTCCTTATTGATTTTCACGCAGCTACGACAGCCTGGCAGTTCACTAAGCTAACATGTGTCCTCTCCTCTCTGCTCTCTCTCTAGGTTTTCTATAGAGAAGGGAATAGCTGGCCAAGTGGCTCAGACAGGGGAAGTCTTAAATATCCCAGATGCCTATGCAGACCCCCGGTTCAACCGGTAAACTCCAACATACTCTTTTACCAATGTTTTCCATTGTATTTGATTATCAATCGCCCTATTAACTGTCTTGAAGTTGTGCTATAATTTGTCTTGGAAGATTATTTGACCATTTTCTCTCATTCTCACAATCCAACCTCAGTTAAGTGTTGTCCGTCTCATTTTTGTATGCTTCTTTCCACAGAGAGGTGGACCTCAAAACCGGCTACACCACGCGTAACATCCTGTGCATGCCCATCGTGAGTAGGGGGAGCGTTATAGGTGTGGTGCAGATGGTGAACAAGCTAAGCGGAAGTGCCTTCACTCAAACAGATGAGAACAACTTTAAAATATTTGCTGTCTTCTGTGCTCTGGCCTTACACTGTGCAAACGTGAGTAAACTGAACCAGTTTTAAAATGTTAAAATGACTAACTGACTTTCTCCAACAGCAAAACTCCATTCTTTTTTTATCTCTCTGCACACGCCTGCTTTATCTTTTGCAGTGTAGGTAGATTATATAATTCCTCATGGTCATGAATACTTGATTCTTATTTTCTGCACCTTTGACGTAGAGGCCTCATCACTGCCCTAAATTCATTCTGTAGCTGGAAGGCTTTTTCTAGCTGTTACTAGGCTGCAGATTTCCCTATTTGTCAGAGAAGTCATTTCATTTTTTCCAAGGTTTTTAAGTGTGCGTTGCTCAATGAAAAAGAATAAAAGCAATTTTTCTGTCTGTGATAATTATCCCTTACATGGAACACACAGACGTTTTAGGAATCAGCTCTGGAAGCCTGCGTTTGTGTGGTCTGTCCGTCAAAGCCTCTCCTCTCTGTGGGGGCCTGACTCACCATCATCTCGTGCGACAAACTTACGCAGGAGCAGCGTCACAAAGTTGGTTTTAAAATTGATGAGGCGTGTGTTAATATTTTAAGACAAGCAGTCTGCATCCGTTCGCTGACAGGATTTATGTTTGGCTGTAATTTATGCCTCAAGTCTTGAGGAAACTCGCTTGGGCTGACTCTTGATTTATGCCGATCTGTGGTGGAAGGTGCGCGGCTCAGCGCCTGTACCCGACTGTCTGGGAAGGGGACAGCGATACAAACCAGATGTGGAGACAGTTTTTTTGGTAGACAGACAAAATATAACGCAGGACTGTTGCGGATAACTTAACTCTGTCTGACCCCTTTAAAATCATTTCTAAATAATTCAACAACGACGTATAAAATGTTCTCCTGGTATTTTATAGTGCTGGAGTGTTTAGTTTCTCTCTCGACATTTTAATTCCTGTCCTGTGTGTCTCTGCAGATGTACCACAGGATCCGGCACTCTGAATGCATTTACAGAGTGACCATGGAAAAGCTGTCTTATCACAGCATCTGCACATCAGAAGAATGGAAGACTCTTACCCAGCTTAACCTCCCTACACCTATTTATAAAGAGATTGAAATGTGAGTGCCCTTTCCAGGTCGAATCTTTGGTGATTATCTCGGCTGTGAGTGTAGTTGGGTCCGTGCCACGTGTCGGTGAAAGTGGCGATGACAGAGTCCAGAAGTCCCTCTGTGTGCTGTAAATGCTAATTTAAGACTCTCTTCCTCCCTCCTCCAGGTTCCACTTTGACATTAGTCCCTTTGAGGAGATCTGGCCTGCTGTCTTCATCTACATGGTTCATAACTCCTGTGGAAAGACCAGGTAAGGTGTTGTCAGTGTCAGCACTTCATCAAAGCTTAAGATTAGTTATTGTTGATCCTGCTTTTTCTTTCCGTGTGTAGCTTTGAGCTGGAGAAGCTGTGTCGGTTCACTATGTCGGTGAGGAAGAACTACAGGCGTGTGCCATACCACAACTGGAAGCACGCAGTGACGGTGGCTCACTGTATGTACGCCATCCTGCAGAAAACCTCCGGGATGTTCACAGAGCTCGAGGTTTGTTAACATTTTGGGTCTGGATTTTACTACGGGACAAAACTAAATCAAATCAGTGTCCGGGGTCCTTTTTCCATTGTCCATCTGTATATATAGTGTCTTCCACACTGTACCTTTTACATTTATATTTTATTTAATATGCTGTGTCATGCACACTTAATGTAAATAATATCCTACCTAGCTGTAATTGGCTCTTCATAGTGTATATTTGACAGATAGTCGACAGATTATATCCTTCACTTTCAATATGTATATATTTTACTTTTAAGTTCTGTTTTATTCTCTATTTTGAGATGTTTCTATGTTGTGGTTATGTTTGTTTATTTTCGACTCAATGCCTTGTGTTACGACGGAAAAAAATCCCAATTTGGGATTAATAAAGTATATTTGATCTAATGTAATCTTTGTGATTTTTCTTTCTGATCTTCCCCCTGTGGTTAACAGAAGAAAGGTTTGTTGATTGCCTGCCTGTGCCATGATCTGGACCACCGAGGGTACAGCAACTCGTACCTGCAGAAGTTTGACCACCCGCTGGCCGCTCTGTACTCCACCTCCACCATGGAGCAGCACCACTTCTCCCAGACCGTCTCCATCCTGCAGGTAGAGCTCCACGTTACAGAAGTTTCTGTACAATTAAAGTCAACATTTTTACTAATTCATAATTTTGAATGCTAATATTTATATATATATATATGTGCTTTACTTAACATTTCCATTATTTAAGCATTTCAACATGTCAAGACTGTCAAAAATATTCCGTCACCCTTGTAAAAGAATCGCAGAAAATACAAAATAGCTCAAAAACATTTAGTTTATTTCTGTCGTTTTTCAACTTATACATCTCAAATACACATATTAAAATAATAATAATTTAAAAAAAATGTGACTCACCTTTAACTTATTACACTACAATAACCACTTTGTAGTGCATTAGATATTTTCATTTTCTTCTTAAACTTATCCAAAAATGATATCCTTTCACAAGCAAATTCCTCTAATGTCATACTGACTCATTTTAGTTTTGAACGACTTTGGATAAAGTTTAAAAGCATCTTATTTGTCACATGAATCTTTTACCTCTGGGGGCGAAATGTGTGAGCGTATATCTATTGCCATGTGTGCTCTAATTAAACCGGTAAAATGCTAGTATTTGTTGTCCTTGATTCGGAAATCTGGGATGTGCTACCCTGAGCCATTTCTCTTTATATGTAATATGTTAGTTAGTGTTGGCTCTCTCTTGTAGCAGAAACCAATAAACAGTGATAGACACAGTGATAGAGCATTTTCCAATACTTAAATTAACATATATTTCCAAACAAGCAAAGGTTTACATAAGCACACTATTCTAGGTACATGATATGATTTAGTTCAGAGTGCCCTCTTCTGTTCCGTCCAGGATCTGCATGAACCTGCGATGGCCTGAGATGAATTACAGGCTTCTGTAATCCAGCTGAGCCGAACGCCTCATAAGTGGAGCTTTTGCTTTTTTATTGATCTCTTTGTTTCCCATAGCTGGAAGGGCACAATATTTTCTCCAACCTGAAACCCAGCGAGTACGAGCAGGTGTTGGAGATCATCCGAAAGGCCATCATCGCTACTGACCTCGCCCTGTACTTCAACAACCACCAGCAGCTGTCGGAGCTGATGAACACAAGTGTGCTGGACTTGAAAAACCTCACACACAGGTGAGGTCACAACACACACACACACCCACACCATACACAGGTCAGGTCGGGTCTCATAGCATCACACGCGGACCTGCTGCACACAAACGGCACTTTGAGTTTCTCCTCATGGCTATAACGAGGCTTTGCTCCCCTCCAGGGACCGTGTGATTGGTCTGATGATGACAGCATGTGACCTGTGTTCTGTTACCAAGCAGTGGCAAATCACACGACTCACCGCCAACGACATCTATGCTGAGTTCTGGGCTGAGGTACACTGGGATCCTGTTGGAGTTTAAACTGTTTGAGTGTCATTTAGTGCCTCCACTATAACAGTCAGGTGTCTGTTGTCACCAAGAAAAGCTGATACCCCTAGGTGTCTTACACTTTGCAGAGTGTAAAATACTGTCGTCTAGTGGTCAGAGGATTCATCACAGTTTCTCTCCTTATTTTTTCCTCCACAGGGAGATGAGATGAAGAAGATTGGGTTGCAGCCGATCCCTATGATGGACAGAGACAAGAAAGATGAAGTTCCTCAAGGCCAAGTAAGACCAGCATTTTTACCCTTTTTGTCTCTCACCAGGCTCATTCTCCCAAGACCCCACTCAAAGAGATTCACATTTCTGCATTAGGAAGGTATACAGAATAAAAACAATAGGGAAGCTAGATTTGACTGTAAGTCATTTTTGGAAGGAGAAGTAGGAGGAGTGCTAGAGGCTAATGCTAATGCTAAGGTATGACAAGGTAGGATTGCCAATAGTTGGAAAATGGGGACGTCAGTTTTTGGAATATTTAAGTAGTATATATAAGTGTGGACATTTATTTGGACACTTTTTAATGGCCAAAGAGATTAAAGACAAGTCAAATAGCATTCCAGAATATTTCTTAAAGTTTTACATACATCTATTTATTGATTCTATTGTCTATTCTCCTCTGTTGGTTTATTCATTTTTCGTCATTATTTTTCAGGTGGGATTCTACAATGCTGTTGCAGTTCCGTGCTACACGACACTATTGGCGGTTTTCCCTCCATCCGGTCCTCTTCTAAGAGCCTGCAAGTAAGTTTTCACAGCTGGAGTTTTTAAGTATTAGGATAAGCTTCCTTCTGCGTTCACTGCTTTGACAGAAAGCCAAGTTTCAAAAAATGTATCTTCGTGTTAGGTTACAAACACTAACTGTAAAATTGTTGTTGTGTTGTTTATTTTTGTAGACACAAAACAACAAAAAGTTACTTCACACTATCTTCTTGTGCTGATTGCACATCTCATGCGGCCAATAGAAGCAATGACATCATCTTGACGTGCAAAAAGGGGCGGGACTGGCCTCGTCTGAACAGCAGCAGCTGGCCTGACAAATAAGATTAGATGTGATCAAGACGAGTGTTCCAAGAGTTCCACTCAAAATACCAACAAAACACACATGCTACTGCCCTGATATAAGATTTAAAAAGCATGTGATCAGACCTTTTTGAAAACGTATTCAGATAGACAAGTGTCACCTAAAAGCATTTTACTAAAATAAAAATACTAAACCCATTATTTTTAAAGAAAAAAAGTAGAATTAAGAAGAGTGTGAAGTAAATGACTCACTTTGCAGCAAAATGGGCTCTAGTTGCTACATTATTACATATTTGATGCAGTAATAATGAAGATGTAATCAAATGTGTGCAGCTGGTCTCAAAAGAGCTTATTTTGTTTGTTTACTGTTTAACAATGCATTGTATTTTATTTTTGTCATTATACGTTTTTTGAAATCTTTATCTGCAAAGAAATAAATAACTTAAGTCATCTCATAAATGTAGGGAAGCAGAAAAGCACATGACTTCCCTCTGTAATGGAGTCACACTCAGTACAGGACTTGAGTAAGCACACGTAGTTGCTTCTTATCACTATGCACTTGTGTGTGTGTTTTTACATTTGATAAGAGTGCAAGAATGCTTTTTATGTGTCATTTCTGCCTGTTGAACAGGATCATGTGGCACATGTGCCCGCCCCTCCTGGGGTAAGCTTGTTGCTCTTTAAAAGCATTTTGACCTTGATCAGTTGCACACCCTTGTGGCAGCAAAGTGTTTTACTGTTGTGTGCCAACTAACTAGTTCCATCAGAAGCTACAATAGAACACTTCATTAATGGCGCATTTCCACTGCAGGGCCTCGCACGCAGGGTTCGAGTTATGTGGGAGCCAATAAGGAGGGGTCTGAGCTCCCACGGACGCAGTGAAATCATACATCTTTGGTGGTCGCTAATACATGACCAACAATCATTATTTTAATCACAAATAATGCATGTGTCAATGTAATGAGTATTATTTACGTTAACGAGATAAATAGGCTAAAAGAAAAACATGTTTTCCAAAAGAACTACGCATCTCTTGAATGACAATATGCATGCACTGCACCTCCAAGGTGCGCAATACATTATTGCGCAATCTATGCCTGTGAGCGTGCTGCGCGAGCCGAGATTATGTGTGTGTGTGCGTAGTTGAACCTTTTCATATTTAAGTTTGTAGCAAGTAGAGGGCTGCTGCTGTGTGTGTGCGTGTGTGCGTGCGCACGCGTTAGTTTTAAAGACCCCGATAGAGCTCAGTTTATAACTCTAACGCAGTGTAGGCGGAGCTCCTCATATCTGTTCAAAAACTAGACAAAAGTTAAACAAGTACAAACCACAGACCGTCTGTGTCATGGTGAATACAGTCGCTGATTTATTTATGACAGATAGAAAATTGTAAATAGCTTTATAAATACATGAATAATGTTGCCTTATTAGGTTGTATTTGTTCATACTGACATGATTTTCAGAATCAAAAATGATTGATTCATGTATAAATAAGAATCTTGTATTTTCAACATACTGTGCTTTACTACAATATAAAACATAAAACATTTTGAATAAGAAATATTTGTGGTTGTTTTTTAACTGTAAACCACATACAACAACATCTGCTTGTTTCAGATTCCAAGTCTGTGCAGTAAGAAATTAAAGATAATGAGTTAGTAGCACAGTCCTGATTGTGACAGCATGCAGAGTCTGATGGAGGTGTTTTGTGTTTGCAGGGATAACCTGAGCCAATGGGAGAAGATCTCGCGGGGAGAGGTGGAGGACGTCGTGCCCGAGCGGCCTTGTGATCCAGGCCCTGTCAAGGTGGACAACTGACTACCAAAGGGGTTGCTGGCCCACCAAAGGAATGCAACAAGAATCCTGCCACGGACTTGGTCGTAGGGGGAAAACCCACATCCTGTGTTCGCAGGAGACGGATCAGCTAAAGGCGACCTGACTTTGAAAACACACAGTTACCTCATTGGGTGACGGAGGTGTCAACACTGACGGTTTCACAGATCCCAGAGACTGACAGACAACCGATGGGGAAGAACTTGGACCCATAACTCTACATCCACTCAGCTTGGGAATTCATTTGGTAGAATGGACTTGTGCCGTTTTGGTAGTTTAATTTTGGCTCTGTTATTTTATGATTTTTATTTTATTTTATATGAGCTGATTCTTTTGTGGTCTTGTATTTGCAGAGGCCTTACTCTGAACCTTTCACAGGCTAGACATATGTGAAATCTTGTTCAGGCTTTTTTTATTTTGATTTGAAATGGTACTGTTTGCCTTCTGTGGTAGGTTTATCGTACGTGCACTACTTCAGCAAGGTATTTCCAGAGACAGGAGGAATGTGTAGAGCAGATGTATGGTTTAATGCCACCTTACTGAGAAGGTGGATGTCAGAATGTTTTTTTGATTACTTTTTGAGCAAAAATCCTTTGCAGTACTTGAATAATAAAGACATACAGCCTATTCTACGTGGAGAAACCCCCCGCAGCGTATTCCGCTAAGCGTGGAGGAACTGTGACGAGCAGAGTTAGATCATGTGGACACTTGTGGACACAGTCACAAGAGAGTCACAATGTTTCTCCCTGAAGTGGACCCCACAGCACGGCCCCCGGACCCTCCTGGCATTTAGGAACCTGCTGCATAGTCCATCTAACATCTTCTGAATAGCAGGATCTGTCCCTAGGCCAGCAGTAGTAATATTTGCAGGACAAAGAAGATGCACAAATAGCATCAGCCACAGTATAGTAGTGTGCAGGCTTATAATAAAGTAAGGTTGTATACTATTGTATTTTTACTGTTATATTTCACGCCACTATCTCCTCATACATTATTTTACACAGCAATCTGGTTTCTCCTCATTAATCAGTAATCATTTCTACAGCCATGAATAAAACATGAGGATACTGCACAAGTTGGTTAGGTGTCCCAGCAGATTCTAAAGATGTTTTGCAGTGACACAACATGTTGACTTCCTTATGTAATGTCTAGACGGAACCTTGATGTATAGCAACATGGTTAAGGAGTGATGCATTAGTGAGGTATTAATTAAATGAATAGGAGAATGAGTCACCACAGATATGCTGACTCTTTTTGACATAGACGGGTGTCCTTGCTGGGTTAAAAGCTACAGTGTGAAACATTTATGACACTGAAGCCTTTTTGCTGTAGTTGCCAGGCAGAGCAGCTCAACAGAAGTCTCACAAATGGTCAGCTTCATGTTTTCTCAAAATGTCAGACCTGTTGGGATAAAGTGCATCATGTGTCTATCTCTGGGATTGCAACACAAGAATGTTTGGTTGACTCTCTGCAGGTGTGTAACACAGGTTCCCCATGGCCTGTCCAAGAAAATAAATCGTCCTCTCCAGCGCTGTGCAAGGGGGTCCATTTGGACTCTTTCAAAATGAGTTTCCGAGATCTTCCAAAAGACAATATTTCTTGTCTGAAACTGTCATTCCAGTGGACATCGTCCCTCCAAGACTGAAAATACCGCTAAAATAATTTGTTTTTACAACTGGTACTGTGGCCCCCAATGGTGTGAATGTACATTTATGATGAATGTTTTGTTGATTGCAAAATGGTGGAGGCACGTGGGTCAGTGCGCCATCAGTTTCCATGCTGTGTTCCGTCTCACGTCTCAGAATGGCTTCCAGTAAGCTTCAACCAAGAGCAACAATTAGCATGCACCTAAACTGACCTTTATATATTATTTTGCACACAGGTGTATACTGTGGGCAATCTAGGAATTAGTTTGTACAGACTGAGATGCTCTGATTGCGCTAAACTGCATGGCGGTGGTGCACTTTCAGACTTAGTGTGTACACTGTGTGTATGTGTGTGTGTTTGCGTTTGAGAAAGAATGCTTTTGACCGTCTCTTTTCCACTCCGTCCCCACCTGAGAACATGGTTAAATCCATAACACTGCACTGTCCCTCCTACTTTTCAGCACCAGTTATATACCATTGTCTGCACTATGTTTAGCTTATGATCTTTATCATTTTTATTATTATTGATAATTATAATTATTATTGCTATTATTACTATTGTTATTTTCTTAATTAGAGTTAAATTTAAATTAACTTATATTTTTTATACAAAGCAAAATAATGTTGGCCTTTTTGTTTTGTACAAAGTTAACATTATGAGAAACAAAACGGTCTTGACATGTCACTGTTACCCAGAATAATTGCGGAATGTTTAAACTGTAAATGTAAGAGCAGTAGCCCAAATGACTTTTAATAAATACCTGAAAAATACATCTCTTTGTCAGATTAGTCTTTATTTCCTGTGTGAATGACCAGCATGTATTATACTATACTCTTTCATTGATAGAGCCGCAAAGTCAATGTTATGTGTCAATGCATCATTCAGGATGTGTTTATTATTGATAAACTTCTGGGAGCTTCCTCCATCCTCCACGAGATTATTTTATTCCACTTGCCAAGTCGGGTCGTTCCAGCCCAAAATGTTACTCCCCTTCTACTCCTTCCTCTTTGCTTTGTAGACTAACTACGGGGCCTTTACCTGCACACTATAACGAAATGATTGTGGATTATACAAATTAAGATAATAGTTTGATTAAAGCGTGTACAGGAGTTGTGCAGTAACAAGATGTCCTTTAGTTTACACGATTTGTCGGCTAATTGGGTTACTTTGTGCAAGGATTTGGTCAGTCACAATAATAAGTATGTATATACATGCTACAGTATTGTTTATGGATCTTGACCATAATTAACAAGCTTCACAACCCTGATATGGGATTCAGGATTCAGCAAAACCTAACAAATCCAGCAAAACCTAACCCTAACCCATTGCTGATGGCCTCAAAATATTCCAATCCGCCCCTGCTTTACAAGTCCCGGCCTGATCTCCAAAAATCTTCTACACTCTCTTTCTGATGTTTGTTGAGAGTTTGCAGGAACAAGAAAATGTAAAATACCACCTGCCGTTTCTCTACTCGAAATATATTGATTTAAAAGTGAAGCCCAACTTCTTTGATTGGTTCAATTATTTCATGTGTGTCATGAATTGCAAGAAGTAATGTCTTCATTTCAAATAATACGACTAAGCGTTATTTTCAGCATGTAAATCATTTTTAAAAACAGTATCGTAATGACTCATAATCATCCCTCAAATAAGATAAGATAAGATAAGATGGTACTTTATTGATCCCAATTTGGGAAATTGTTTTTGTTGCAGCAGCATAAAAGACAAGGCATTTTACAATAAAACAAAACTAGAAATAAATCATAATGCAAGCTAATTCCTAAATATTTCAATTATTTTCATTAATGCTTGGCTTTGCATACTCATAAACCTAAACTTACTGTGCACAATGTGCCAAATGTAAAATAAATGTCTGTACTGTACAGGTGCATACACTTTAACTTCGTCTATATGCCTCATCATGTGTTAATTAGATCTAGCACGTCAAAACTCATGGGTACGGTTATTATCAAGACAGTGAACGCAACGCAGACATTACGCGCTTAGGTTTCCATGGAGACCGAGCAAAGAACAAACTGCTTGGGCCGTGAGGAAAGTTTACTTTGTGTCGTGACAAAAAGTACAACTAGCTAAAGGTAAGATTAATACTTATGGTTTCTGCTTCCTTAAAACGTTTTTACTGCCTATAACCTAGATTATATAATAAAGTAATGTAAAACCGAAACGGGAAGCAATTTGGTCGAATTCGTGCTAGGTAAGTCATTCCTAGTGCCATTTTAGGTCCCCAAGACATTATATAATCATTTGCATTTAAAAGGGCGAATGCTTATTTGTAAAAGCTTGTTTTGTTTTTTTTACCATAAAAGAAACAATGTTATATACCCAAGATATTCAAAATTCTAAATAATTACTCAGATTTTAGTAGGCCAAACTGCCATATCAACTTCCATAACAGATGTAAAAAAAAAAAAATCAAACAAATTCGACATTGTATTAATATTCCTCACCAAATTTAAATGTGTCTTGTTAATTATTTTGTATTGTTTAAAGTTGTTTCATAAGTGTGTCCCACGTTTGAATGTTCCCCCTGTTACTCTGATTTAAATCCTCCTGGCCGCGACCCTTTACTATTCTACTATTTTTATGACTCAAGAAGAAGGATTGGGAACATCGTGTACATTACAAGAAGCACAATAAGTATCACTCTTCACTCTTCATAAGGAGCTTGACTGTTGCGCTAAAGCATAACGTGTCCACTCTGTTATAATCATTTTTAGTGGACACTGATAATTTTTTGTAAGAATATGGTTAATCTATTAATCAAATATATGTTTCTGTTGTCACAAAGTGCTAGCTTAATTATCAGCACACAGGTAGCAATTGTCAAGTTTAGCATACAATGTCCACCCTGTTACTATTTTTCACAGTAACAGTAATTATTTGAGCTAATGTTTTGAGCTGCACCAAAATATTTTTCTTATACTTCAGCACTATACTTAAACTTTTTTTTCTATATTTACAGGGCTGTAATGGCACCTAATGCTAGGAAAACCAAATTCATTCATTAAAAAAAAGACATTTGTTGGCAAATCTTAGTCGTAGCCGAGTGTTGAGAGCCCTAGGCAGAGTTTTACCAGCATGTCATGTTATTCAAGCTTGTTTCATGCTTGTGAGGCACATTGGATTAAAGCCCTAACTACTGTAGGCAGGTTTTAAAAATGTATTCACATTTTTTAGGTTTCATTTTTTTAAATGGAGCATCACAATTATGTTGCATAAAAACACGTTTTGTCACCTGGTGTCACTGTCTTTAAAACATCTTGTGTTGTGGCTTCAAAGCCATGTCCAGCAGATGTAAGCCGAGCCCCGGGTGCTTCAGGAGTGACATCCACAGACTGCTGCTGGCGGCTGAAGCTGGTCAGAAGACCGATATCCTGTCCTACTCCTCAGGTCATCTGGGGCCCCGCAGTCTGAACCAGCCTCAGCCTCACAGCGAGACAAAGCAGTCTTTCTGGAAGAGCCTAGACAAACCCCAAAACCCTCTGACACCCCAGCAGACACAGACGAAAACACTGACCTATGTGAAGAAGAAAGAAAAGAAAGAGCGTCTCTCCCAGTTCTCCACTGTCGCTTCTTCAGTAGAGTCTGAAGCCTCAAGGTCAACTCAAGATCAGGCTACTAATGTGTCTCCACATACAGACAAAAGAGAAGATACAAGTCTACCTACAGTTGTTAACTGTTCCTCAAACGTTCTGCCAGTCCAACAAAAAGCCTTCTCCCCAAAAATGTCTAGTTCTTCTACTGATTCGGAGGAGAAACAGCATTCTGATGAGAAAGGCCTGAACAAAAATGGCCAGCTAAAGACAAAACAACTGTTCAGAAGGCAAGACATAGCCATGCAAGACCTCTGGGGTGGAATAAATGTTGCTGAAATTCATGAAAGGAAACTACAAAAGGTCAGAACGGTCACTATTTTTGTATTTGCACATTTTGATATGTTCTAATGTTAATTTAACGTTAGATGGCAACTCTGAAGCACCCTGTCAAACCTGCAGAAGGTGCATGAATAACATGCACAGGTTCTAACACTCATCTTAACTTGCCAACGTGTGTGTGTGTGTGGTGTGTGTGTGTGTGTGTGTGTGTGTGTGTGTGTGTGTGTGTGTGTTGTGTGTGTGTGTGTGTGTGTGTGTGTGTGTGTGTGTGTGTGTGTGTGTGTGTTCGTTCCTGTCATACGCAGGAGCTGAGAAGGTTGTCAGCTCAGAGCTGGCCCAGCAGAGACCGCCTTGCGGTGTTCAGTGACGTCTTTGATGATGTATGTGAGGACTCGCCAGTATTTGGACGCATCCTGAGGGAAATTAAGGTTTTTCCATTTGCTCTGTACCCACTAACACATTTTTAGCATGCGCTGTCAGACGTATTAGAGCCAAGAGACAGGGAGTCCCGGGTGTATCAAGTGGAAGTAGAGCAACCATTGGAACCATTGGTCATGATGCGTCTGAGCAGGTCATCACAAGGCAACGGTTGCATCAGTCCTCATCCATTAGAAAACCATTTATTACACCATTTTTGTATTACTTTATTAAAGCATAATATACTTAGACTTTTTATGGCATTTTCATGGAATACTATATTTATTATATACTATATATATATACTATACTACTATAGTTATTTCCAAACTTAATTACATCTACTTTTTTAAATACACATAGTTATAGTATATAATGTTATAAATGATGTTTTCTCTTTCTTCCAGACAGATTATGATTTGTATGTCAACCACTTGATGGCTTCCCACGGCATGGTAAAGCACACTGCTCCTACTGTTTTCTAATAATTACTTCTTCTGATATATTCTGACATATCAGAAGAAGAAGAAGACGCGTAACAAAGTGTGATGGCTTCATGTTTAGTGAGATGGATTATCAAGCTCTTGCATTCCAAGGTCTAGAAATTGCTTTTAATGGTGTGTGAAAATGTCTCTACCTATATAGTGCAAACTTTAGCCCTCATATCTTACTTTTGAATACAAAGTCCTTGTAATGTCACAAAACCGCACCTTTTGTTCAGTCACATTCTAAAGGGTCAAAGGTAACTTTCGTCACAGGGATCATCGTTCATTTTCACGGTCATATTTCCATTAGGGACTGTCCTCAGGGCTGGGGTCCTTCTTTTAGAGGCAAGAGTATAACCTCACAGTTGCACATGGTAACATGTTTATGTTGTTGTTCTGTTACAGTCACTGGAGACTTCCCTCAAAGCTCTTTCGAATGAAAAAGAAAGCCAAACAGATTTAGAATTAGCTGTAAAAGAGGTTTGCAGGCTGGAGCAGGAGGCCAGAAAAGCTCTAGAGGACAATAAACGGTAATGCAACGATCTCTCTACCAATAAAAGGTGTATACAATTATGTCTTAGTATTATTTAAGTGTGTTTGTTCTTTCTTAACTTCAGAGTCCGAAATAAATCACAGAATGTCCCAGCTACCGCAGGCCCAGAGGACAGTGACACGCAGAGTAAGTCTCAAGACTACATTGGTAGATCTAATCATTAGTGAACCACCTCTAAGCATTTGCTGTATATCACCCTGCAGGCAGCAGCACATGCTAACTTCTAAATGTCCTGTGTCTCTGATGTGGACAGACTGAACAAATCATGACTTTGTCATGCAAACAGACATAAAGAGAGTGTTGTAGTTTGAGTGAGTCAGCTGTGACAGTGCCTGCAGGGGTGTGTATTTACAATACGTACAGTATGTATTACAGTGTGTGAGGCTCCTCTGTGTCTGTCAGGGTTGCAGGACAACACATCCAAGAGGCTTCAGGTTCTGAGCACATGGAGGGAGATCCAACACCTGGAGGAGGAGGTGAAGAGGAAACCGGTGTCCTCTGTTACAATCGCAGACACTGAAAGACACGTCAAAGAGCAAAAGGTACTGGGAGATAAACTGCTGTTCATACTCATATATTCGCCCTGTTCCTCAGAAGTAAACATTTTGGCTGATATGTCACATTAAACATCAACCTTTTTTTCTTTTTTTTTGAATGATTTCCTGTTTTCTTTCCTCAGAAAGAGATATTGAGACTAATAGCCTCCAATGACCGTCTAAAGATCACCAACAAGGCAAGGGAGTTAGCTTTTATTTCCTGTGTCTAAGTGCATGTTCTGCTATGCGATAGTGGGTCATGTTTTTGTCTCCTCTGAAGGATCTGGAAAACAACATCAACATGGTACTGAGCAGAGAGAAAGCAAACAAGGCCATGAGACGGTACATGTTATATTGTATATTTGAGTATGTATGTAAGACTTGTGACCATTTTTTACCTGATGCTTATTTTTGTATTTTCTACCAATAGGATGTTGTGGGACGAAATACACAGTGATCTAAACACAGAGTGTGGATAGCTTCATCAGCAAGTAAACCGGGGGATCATTTCTTGAGATGGACATACAAAGTGCAATAAATTAAGGACATACATTTTCTACCAGCAAGCTACTTTATCTTTCTTTGTTTTTAGCCCTTTCGTTTTTTGTACAGTAATAACACTGTTGATGAAAGCCTACAACTGCCACCGCCATTAGCTGCTTTATATACTGTAAGTTGAATCAATATATTGCATAACATTTTAGATAATCATGTGTTTTGTGTATAAGAAATCTTAATTTACATATTGAATAGTTTTGTAGTCATTATTTTCTACTAGCTCTACATGTTAAACTAATGATGAAATTACTATACTTGCTTCTGAAATGTGTTGATGTAGAAGTATAAGTACAGTAGCATAAATAAATATACTCAAGGACAACTCGTACAACAGCCTCAAAACTATACTTAAAACAGCTTTGAGCAATTGTTTTTAGTGAGAGAACGTCAGGTTTCGTTGTTCAGCCATCAGTTTATGAACAGCAGTGAAATTGACACTTCACATATGGTGTTCTTGTGGGCCAGGGCAGTCCAATCAGTGCCTTGTTAATATGAACAACTTCATCCTTGGGGTAGAAATCAAATTAGTTGAACTGTATGTACAGCCTGAAGCTACTTGAATGCCAATTAATAAAAAGAGAGCTGCTTTTAAAGCAGAATAAAAGGTCTGGATATCGTCTCATAAATCGCTTTATTCTGTATTGAGCCGCACATGAACATGATACCACAGAGGATTAGGAGGATAATAAGTCCTTCTCTCATTTCTGGCTACAAGAAACCAGTAAGTATTCATTTGTACAGAGTGAATGAGGCATTGGAAGAAAAAACACGAAACCCCATAATATAATTCACAACTGGTAACGATAAAACAGACCTCTGACGTCGGCAATGGAGAAATATAGGATAGTTCAATTATTGAAGTACTGTACTTTAATATAATGTTGACATGGTATTACTTTACTTGACATTTTCCATTTTCTGCTTTTGACTTTTTATTCAAGTACATTTATCTAACTTTAGTTCATGATACATTTCTATAACACCAATCTACAGGGAAGTATATCAATCTAAAAGTGGCTTCACATTGACAACATAATAATGGCCTTACATTTGAGAGTGATTAACACAATAATATGATATTCAGTATAACATTCTAAAAGGAGGCATTTTGCACGTAGTGAATACTATTTGTTTTAAAAGTGAGTACATTTTGGGGCTGGTATTTTAACATATAATGCTACACTGTTTTATATGTTTTGGTTTACAGAGAAAACTACAAATCAGTTGAAAGATCAAGAAGCCACGGGATTAAATAACAGCCTTACTCTCAACTTCAACTACTTAAATTGAAGTTCAAAATAAGAACTTTCTTTTCAGATTATAGTGATTCTATTTTTCCTTTTCTAAAAGTTATGACCTCTGCTTCCTGATTGTTGGATATTGACACTGAAAGGTCATAATAACTATTTTCCGGGCATTAAGGGAATGCTACTCTTCAAACACCAGAGGGCAGCAGAGACAAATGCATTTAAAAACAATATTCTGATTGTCTGTCTACTTATTCAGTGAAGTGTCAGACTGTGTGACCTTTTTCAAAACAACGTGAAGATGGTTTGAAGTTTGTGAGATCTTGATAAAGGCCACAGGCTGAAATGCCTCTCAAGCATCTCCCACTGCTCGAGAGAAACACATTGTCAACAAAGTACGGCAGCAAAATAACATCACCGTACAAAGCCAGTTGACAGCTGATGGGAAAGATATTGATGACAATTATCTGAACAAGGCAATACAAATGACTCCCAAAGTTTCATACAGCTTTAAATCATATTAAATAACTAAAGTACATGAAAAAGGGCACTGAGGTAGAGAGATTGAACTCTCAAAAGAAGCTACATTTCAGAGGACCAGCATGTGTCTTGGTAAAGAGGACAATTCTCATATTTTGGAAAGTGAAAACTGTCCTCAGGAATACCTGGACTTGGTCTCAGGAATACCTGGACTTGGTCTGAATGGTACAATCAGCTACAAGTCTTTAAAAATGTGGGATTCGACTTTTATTAGGTCATTCTTTAACATTACACAGTTTATCTAAGCAGTGCAAATGACCATGAGTCAATCAAATCAAAGTGGGAGGTGGGGGGGGGGGAACAAAGGAAAGATATTTGCCACCAGGAGATGGTGCTGCTTCCCCTTCATCAGGAGTCACATACCTTCACTGTTGTTATGAAACAGCCGACTTCATTCCCTGTATTTTATATACCAAAATAAAAAAACATTACTCCAATGCTGTTATTTCTCTTTCCCCCCCTCCCAGCTACATTTACTTCACTTTAATGATGTGGGGTTTGAAATTATATAATGTGTGACTGTTCTTTGTTATGTATGTGGTTGTATTTTTGTATATGTTTGTATATATTTGTGAAATAAAAATGAAAAAATGTGCCGCGAGTTAAAAAGGAAACCAAAGCACTTCCATGTTCCATGTGTCTTTTAAGTCTTTAAAAACCTAATATAAAGCAATGAGATTACATTATTACTTTGATGTGTTTGAGAGCCACAGAGAATGAGAGGATTACAGTAATTATAGAAGCTTTTCCTCTATTGTATTGATATGAGGGGACCTTTGCCCCCAGCATGAGCGATTGCCTTGCTGTCTGCCACTGTCTGATCACAGGTCAAAGTCTGCTCCCCAGTGGCAGAGCCAGTAGGAGTACAGAGTGTTTTGTCCCTCACTGTCTCACTCTTCTCCCTCGCCTGAGGACTGCTTCCTCTGCTTGGATTGTCACCAGCTCATCACCATGCTGTTCCGGACTGTGCTTCTGCTCACCTTATGCGTGTCCACAGGCATGAGTGCCACTTTAGGCTTCTACCAGGCTCAAGCAAAGGAGGAGGAGGCTCCCACTGTGGAGACTATCACTCATGGGACTGTGGAAGCTGCCCCTGTAAGCACAGCTGAAGAACATGTTGTTCCTGCAGATCCAAAAGAAGATGATCCACCTGGGGATGAGGAACATGTCGCTCCTTCAGATCCCAAAGAAGATGATCCACCTGCGAATGAGGAACATGTAGCTCCTGCAGATCCCAAAGCAGATGATCCACCTGCTGAGGAGGAACATGTCGCTCCTGCAGATCCCAAAGAAAATGATCCACCTGCTGAGGAGGAACATGTCGCTCCTGCAGATCCCCAAGCAGATGATCCACCTGCTGAGGAGGAACATGTCGCTCCTGCAGATCCAAAAGACGATGATCCACCTGCTGAGGAGGAACATGTCGCTCCTTCCGATCCCCAAGCAGAAGATCCACCTGCGAATGAGGAAGATGTAGCTCTGGTAGATCCCAAAGAAGAGGATCCATTTGCAGCTGAGGAACCTGAAGCAAATACCATTGTTGGGGACAATCAAGTGGCTGATGTACTTGAAGTCGACAACGTAGCAGCTGGTGAACCAGAAGAGGATGTGCCTGTAGCAGAAGAGCCAGAGACACGCAGTGATGACGCTGCTGGAGACGCCCCTGCTCTGGAAGATCTTACTGAAGCTGAAGGTGAAGCAGTCACCCAGGAGCAACCTGAGGCAGAGGAGGACAACGACATCAAACCAGTCCAGACAGAGCAGTCCCAGGACGAGCCCGAAGCAGCAGAAGAAGAAGAAGAAGAAAACAGCTGGAGCTTCTACTCAATTCGAAATAGTTTCCAGTCTATGCACGGATACTACAACTCCCTGGTGGAGCTTGTGGGGGGACGCGATGGTGTGTGTCAGTACCGCTGCAAATATGGTAAGAAGGAAGTCTTGAATACTGTCATTTTTACATTACATGTTACTTGTTAGACGCTTTTATCCAAAGCGACTTACAGTACATACTCAATACTGTGGCCAATCCCCACAGGAGCAATTTGAGGTGAAGTGTCTTGCCCAGGGTCACAATGACATGCTGATTGCAGTGGGGTTTGAATCTGTGACCACCTGATCCGAAAATCAACACACAACCCACTGCACCACACGCCTCCTCATTTATAAAAACAAGTATTTTAGTGGCCTGCAAATGGGCCTCAGAGAGAGCTAGTCATGGTTGTTGTTTCTGTTTTCAAATGATCCAAAACAAATATTTTAAACGACTTTCAAATGATTATTATGTTGTCCACATCCCATAATCCTTCTGTTGCTGCGTATTTGTAATCTCAGCACACTTTAAGTGTCAGATCAATCACTCTGCTGTCTGATATCAGCTTCCTATTTACAACATGCTAGGCCTGCAGGCTGCTGATAGGCTGAATACATCCTGGTTATCAGTCTGAGAGGTAGATGTACAGACCCACAATCAATACAGATGTTCTCAAACAAAAGTGACATCTTATCTGTGAAACTACGCACACTCAGTAATAGAGATATAGTGTGGATTCTTGAGTACTTGACGGCATTAGTGGTTGATGTACCTTTTCTTTAGTTTGAACATTAAATGGTTCTTCTGTTTTTTCGTAGGAGAAATTCCTAAACCTCGCCCCGGCTACCAGCTCCCAGAGCCCAACGGCTGCAGCTCCTCTCTGGTTGGATTCCAGGTGAATGACGCAGTAGGTGGCCTGTTCATAGCACCAACAGCCCAAACATACATCATAACACTTCACACTCAAAAGGACCATTTGTGTATCAATTACCCACCCTGTGTTACTTTCAACTTTGAATGAAAAGTAACCCTATGCCTGCATGTAAGAATAATACTGTAAGAATACTCAAAATGGAGAAGGGTTAGGGTTAGGGTTAGCCTTGATAATTTATTATAACTTTTTCTCCTGTTCACTTATTCTCAAACACATGCATTTTTGCTTAAACCTTACTATTATTATACGTATGCAGCAGTGGCAGGAAACTTAGGTTTTTCGAAAACCTTTCTCCGTATATTTTAATCTTCTTTCTTCACCGCGGTGGCATGCGAGACATTTCTTCAAAAGTAACACAGATGAGTCATTGTAGTTTTAATTTTTAAGATAAAGTAGCCTATAACTTTAAACTCATAATGTAGCTAACAACACATGCTGTAGATGCTAGCCTCTGTATTAGTAAACTGCACTGACATAATAAAGTGTTCCCTTTTACAGCTTGACCTGGGGATCCCTGCTATGACAAACTGCTGTGACATGCTGGACATGTGCTACGACACTTGCGGCGTAAGCAAGAACGCATGTGATTCCGAATTTCGCCTGTGTGTGCATGGCATCTGCTCCGACCTAAGGAAGAGTCTGGGCTTTGTGTCCAAGGTGAAAGGTGAGATAACTGCAGATACAGTATTTACACAAATGAATATGACCACCAGGGAACCTCTCATGTAAACTGTGAGATATCAAAAAGGAAATTAAACCCATTCCTCCTCCTTTTGTCTAATTCTCTGTCTTTTCTCCTCTAGCCTGTGAATCGATGGCAGACGCCCTGCACAGCACGGTGGGGACTCTGGGATGCAGGCCTTACATGAACGGCCAGAGGGCGGCGTGTGTCTGCGAGGGAGATCAGAGGGATGAACTGTGACACAGAACACTGTGGACAAAACCCCTGGATGTTTTCATGGACGAATAACTGAGTCACATATTATACTGTGTATTTATAAGCTTCTTTTTGTCAAAGAAAAGATACTTCTCAACATCCACAGCCTGGGACTTCAAAAAAGGAAAAACAGACAAATGGAGAATGCAAATTAACAGTTTTTTTACAGGTTTTATTCATAAGCAGTACTGACATATATTAGGTGTCTGGATATGACTTTCCAAATCGTAATTAACTGCGTATGCATATTACTCTCCATACTCCATTTCAAATTAGGCCATTTTTAGGCCTCTATGACTCCATTACCATAAATTACTATGATGACTCCAAACAAAGTGCCTGATGGGAAGGATATTGTAGTTGGATTAATTTCCTCTAGATGGAGAGACACAATTTATCAACTATGACGCTATGTTGCGTGATGCTATTTATCAAGGTAGTCTGCTTAGAGCTTAAGTCAGTGTCAAATGAATGTGATGCCTATTACAGCTGGTGTTTTTTTAATTTAAGTTATTTGCTAGTGTTTTGTTTGTTTTTATTAATGAATACATGACTAATTGCAGTTCAAATGACGTGATTAACTCTGGATTAATTGTCAGTGACGAAGCGTATGCATCATTTTCAGGCTCGGCACACTGATATCTCTTTCCCACAGCACTGGCATGCAAATGAGCAAATGAGAATACATCTATCGGAGTTCATGTATTTTTTTAAGTCAGTGATGGTGTGAAATATAAACAACTTCTATAAATCTACACATTCCTTAAACTGTAATCAAGCCTGAGAAATGCCTCAAAGTGTGACCTAGAAAAACATCATTCATGCTGCAGTTGTTACAAATCAAATGTGGCCCCTTTTCTACATTTATATTAGAATGAGTTCTAATAGAAATGTCATTCACTTGTGGCAAAGTGGCAGTGACACACCACAAACTTGGTTGTATTGTAATACACAGAATCTAAAGCAATGTAACTGACACTGGAACTAGGGATAAACTAGAGTGTATATACTGTACATCTGCATGTATACGATGTATATGTGTATTTAAATAAATAAACTGAAATGGTCAGTTCATCTGCTTTAAAGTTAATGTGACTCTGCATGGTGTTGTTTCTGACTGTGTGTGTTGATGGTGATATGTTAGCATCACAGATCAGGCAGGATGAAGATGGGGCCTCCACTCAGTGTGTGTTTCTCCTGAGGTTTGGTCCGAGCCTGGCGGCGGACACGCCCCCGGCAATGCTGAGAGCAGTGGGAGTCCCCCGCCCCGCATACCAACACCTGGCAGTGGAGGAACACTTGCTGCAAACACAGGAGACAAGCTAGTTCTGAATACGCTTAGAGAAGAACAATCAGTCAGTGAAAACAGTCCTTAAAGTATAGTGCTACACAGGCATAATACCACACCTACATGCCAGCTGGCTCCCAGCATGCTTCTTTTTTTTACTCACTTTGTTGTCCTTGCCAACAAACTTGAAGACGGGGACCTGGTAGTGCTTAGAGAGCTGGTCCTTTGATGAGTACTGTGTCACAGTTTCATCAGAGATACACCTGATTAAGAGAGGGAACAATATTGAAGCACTGTTGTATTTTTTATATCACCAAAATAGCCGTGCTCTAATGGACTATAGAGTAGCGGTGGAGATTTGGTGTTCCCCGCATAATAAGGCTGTTTTGGCTTTCCCATTTTCCACTCGAAATAATATTTAGTTGCTTTCCACATTAATCAGAGTAAGGGGCCAGTGGCAGTTTTCATTTGACATTTCCTTGTGTGGTGGATTCTCCCTGTCCTATAACTGTTGAGCAGCGGATGGTAGCGCTTTGTGGAAACAAAGCAGCTCGTCCTGTTTACGTTTATTATAAGGGCCATAAAGGTTGCAGGCCCAAATGCATTTCTCATATTAATAGGACAATATAAAACCGAGGGAATATTGCAGTTTTCATTGTGTGCTTGAGCTTTTTAAAGGGTCAGTACACCCACATTACTTACATTACTTTTAGTCTGGTGACAATTGTTCATAGCTGTACCTCTTGGTAAATATCACAGCCTTTTCCTTTGGCTTTTCTGATTATATAGTGTTGATTCTCCATCAATAATGCTTTTATTTCTGGTCAGCCACAGTGGGTTTAATCCTATAGTTAATATAAACAAACCTGTTTTGTATTTTTTAAGGATTTTTTTTTCTTGGAACACATACCCGATACATGCAAAATGTAAATGTAATTTTGAGTTTGGTCTAGCTTTAATCCTTTATTATTATTTTTTAGCATTACAGTAGCTAAACAGAAACATTTTCTTTAAAAAAGTAGCAGCAGTTCTAGCTTTTATATATACAGTGTATGGTTCTAGCTCTACACCTCTGCAATAAGTGTACAACATCAACGTCCACAATATTTACCCGTCTTTGATGAGGTAATACTTGAGGGCCTGGTCAGCGTTTGGCCCTGGTGTGGCGAAGCAGCTCTCCACCAGTGCAGAGAGGCCCTCCACTCTCTCCCTCGGCTCCACCCCGAAGAACAGGGAGTCGTGCAGGCGGAGCTGGGGCGGGGTTTGGTAGGGCTCCGAGAACTCTGCGCTCTTGAAGAGCTCCAGGGAGAAGGGGAAGACTCCCTTGCTGTGGCCTGCCAGCTCCAGGGCCGAGCTGCGCTGACTGGCCTGGTATCCGTCCGACACTTGGTATTCCCTCGGGAACTCGCAGGTGACCGGGAGCACTAACTTGCTGGTGCGGACGATCAAGTCCATGCTGCTGCCTGGGCTGTTCCTCGGGAGGCCCGTCACCAGGTTGGTCCCCACAATCTTGTCATCTGTCACCTGGGGGTCAACGTTCAGTTTACAAGTGTTTTAATAGCTTTTTCAGTTTGTGACAACCTCACACAAATCCCATTTAAGGCACAGCACTTTAACATTGTTATAAGAATAAACCCTGAGCCCATTCAGTCTAAAACATTTCATCACAAGGCCTCTGACCTCCACCACCGTGCCGCAGGTCTTGAGGCTGAAGCTGAGGTTTATGTGGGTGCCATTGGAGACACCTCGACAAGACGAGTTGGACAGGGTGAGCTCCAGGCCTTCGACCAGGTCCTTAGGAACTGACACAACTATAGAGCCGGAATCACACTGGACTGGCACTGCAGGAAACAAAGTTCAAGGTTCAAGGTTCTTTATTGTCAAACTAACATAGCTACAGAGTAATTATGTCGTTGAAAATCTTAGGTCACAGGCCAAAACAAACAAAGAGAAAGATATGACGCTATTATGGTCCAATAAAATGGCAAAAACGCATGGATACAACAACAAAGGGATTAAAATAATCAATACAATATTTCTGTAAGCCATGTACATGAAAACACGAAGAGAGATAGATTATTGAGAAATTATTGTACATTGATAATGAAAATAATAATTGCTTGCAACCGTAAATTGAACAAAATGTGATCTGAGGGTGTCACCTTTGAGAGATGTTACACTACTTTTAAACATATATATTTATAATAAGCTGTTATTGTTTAATCAGTAAAAAAAAAACAGATAAAGCCATATTAAAAATGACAATTACCTGTCTTGTGCTATCATAAAAGACACTGAAATAAATTGGTATAAAACAACATAATATTGGCAGAATAGTTTCATTTCTCAGTAAAAAAGGTCTGTGGATTATTATTCACTGGTTATATAGTTAAGAACCCTTTCCTGACAGATATATAACCCTGCACTGAAATGTTAGAAGTTCGGTTAAAGCCTGAGGAAATTCATTTTTTCCAAACCTGTACTGTACTTTCTAGAACATCTGTCAGATTACTGTGAGACATGTACTGTATGGCACATATTCATTCTTTCAGAACACACAAGACACATTTATCTTACTAACTGTTTCTATCCGGGTCTGTAGACTTCTCCTAAAATCACTAAAAGTTACTTAAGATTTCAGATAACCTGCTGTAATACAAAATGGTCTCAAATTATATAATCACATGGTTTCATGTTCATATCTATTACAAATAAAACCCTATTCCCCTGCAGTGTCTCCCCTGAATACAAGTGTGCATATCTGCTTGTCTTGCTGTCTGATTGGTTATGTAACTCTGCATGCACGTTTGCACACACACACACACACACCCTGACATGTGCGTTTATCCTCCCCCAGCTCCAGCCCTCTGGGACAATGGCACTGATAGGAGTCCAGCAGTGAGGAGCAGCCATGGCTGCAGCCTCCATTGTTAACATGACAGCCGGCTATCTCTGCATGAAGAAAAAAAAGATGAATAACAGTGTGTGGTTCCCATCTCTCCATACTTTAGTGACTGGTGTGTCATATTATACACTTCAAAACCTGGATGTACCTCTGCAGCTGTGTCCGTCCTTGTCCAGCACACGGCCCGGCACACACTCACAGCGTCTGGAGCCTTTGGTGTTCACACACACCTCTGCACAGCCACCGTTGCCCTTCTCACACTCATTTACATCTATAAAATGAACACACACCACTGCTGGGTCAGGTATTATTATCACATGAGTCCTGTTTTAATCGACTGAGAACCAGATGGGTGGGGTTTATCACCTTGAGGTAATTCACTTAGTGTTCCTGGGAGAAAGATGATAAACCAACTTTAAAGGAGTTTAAAAAGTGAGATGAAACTGTAAGCCTGAGAGACTGGTAAGGAAATAATGATGGGTGAAATAAAATGTGGGAGTGCAAGGGAGTAGGAGAACACACACACACACACACACACACACACACACACACACACACACACACACACACACACACACACACACACACACACACACACACACACACACACACACACACACACACACACACACACACACACACACACACACACACACACACACACACACACACACACACACACACACACACACACACACACCACATTGAAGATATATATATATATATGGAAACTAGATAGAATGACTGGGACAGCAGTGACATGGACATGGACGTGTTTCCCAACCACGGGTACTTAAATCCAGGGGTTACGTGAAAAGATTGTCAAGTAGCTTATGTAATAAAACAGAAATGGATTTTAAACGTCAGCGAGCAGAGAAGTTAAATAAGCTAGCTAAAAGCAACTGGTAAATGTCAAAATGAAGAGCTAAAAGCATGGATAGATGGTTGAAAAGAGAATACAAATGAATAAGCTGTTAAAGGAGTTATCCAAAGGTTATGGATAAAACTGTGTTAAGTGTTGCTGGTTTAAATGTCAAGAAAATGGAGTGAATTTAATGGAGTTTGCTCAGCTGAACATAATTCCTTCCACTGATGAAGACATGCATAAAAAGATTTACTGAAAGCTATATGTACATTTTTCTATTTATATGACTATATGACTTACTGTTGGCATAGTCTGGGTGGGTGTTAAACTGCATTTCATTATACAGGAACTGCTGGTGCAATGACATCAAAGCAGTAGACCTTTAGTCATATTTGATTTTGTAAAACTACCCTTTAATGTCAAGGATGAACTTTCACTCTAAATTAATTTAAATGATATCCCTCTCAACATGGTGAGTCGGAGGACCAAGTGGTTAACATCTCAATCTCATTCTTAAAGAACTATGGCTACACCACTTTAATCATTCATGGTGTGTTTTGATGTCTCTGATGGTTCTATCTTATCCCATTAAGTCAAGTAAACATGGAAGTTTGAATAAAAATAGCATAAAAACAACTTATGTCAAAACAATGTTGTTTTTTTCTCTTGTTATTGTCATCCAGGAACCATTTCCAGCCTATCTGTCTTCCATGTCTCTCACACAACTTATCTTCCCCCTCCCTTCCTCCCTTCCTCCCCTCTCCGTCCGTCTCACCCAGGCATGTCTGTCTGTCCGGTCCCAGGACAAATCCAGGTGTACAGAGACAGTCAGACTGGGGACATGTGGGACCTACACAGTCCACCTCATCACAGATGTCATAGAAATCTGTGCAACACAAAATAATATCTATTAACACAACAATAGACAAGAAAATGGAAAGTAAGTCTGGTTATTGGATAAGAAAATGACTGTTTGCATATCACACATAATGCTCACTCACGGCCACAGTAAACTTGGAAGCAGACAGAGGGTCTGGGCAGGCGATATACAAAGTACCCTCCGCTGCAGGCCTTCACGTCCACACTGGCATTCCACTGGCAGCAGTTGTCGTTGAAGCTGGCACACACAGGCAGGGTGACGATGCCCTCCTGGGGTTGTGGGTGGCTGCCGTTGAGCCAGATGGGAGCGTGTGTGGCGCAGTGATTCTCAGAGATGCAGAAGGTGGGCATGGCGTCCCCGGCCATGCCCGTGAAGCGGTACCATTCTCCAGACACGTGGCTGTCACACAGGGGCCCGCTGGAGGACTGGTTGACGTGGTAGTCTGTGTTCCTCCACGGTTCATTCAGGCTGATGTAGGCAGAGCAGGGGTCCAGGGCTGAGGTGGCAAAGATGAACAAGACTTAGTTGTACGCGAGGGGGAAAAAAATATGGATTTGATGTAAATGTGTGTTTTAAGAGAATGAGGATGAGCCAGAGACGAGGGTTGGAAAACATTAAGAGTCACTACTCGTGAGTATTTCCATTTTAAGCTAGTCTATATTTATTGTCTATCAAATATCAAAGCTTACTCAGTTTTTCAGTTTAAGGCCATACATATAAAACATATATTTTGATGCCTTCAAATGGGTTAAGTAATCCACTAGTTTAGTATATGGGTTATATAATTAGCTGCTTACATGTTAATGCTAAAATGACCCATTAACATCAATATACTGTACAGTAAAGCAGGGCTCGACATTATAAATGGCCCGCTGGCCCGGAAGCACTATTTAGACACCCCTGTTCAGCATAACGTAGGGGAGACCAGGGACAGTTGTATCATCTCACAATGTCGCTTGGGGCCCCAAGTTGGCCACTGAGTAAAGGCTACATTCTAGCGTAGACTATAACAACTTTTAGTTTTGATACTGTAATACTACTTTAACTAAACAAGTTTTGTGAATGCAATGCTAAATTCTAAACTCTATTACTTTATTCGTGTACGTCCATACAGATATATTTCTATTACTGTTGTAGGTTTGGGGGTTTCTGGTTACACGTCAATAAAATGGATGAAATTAAAGTGTTGGTGGTAAATGTTACATTAAAAAAAGGCAATACAAAAATGGCATTCTAGGGTTAAATATGTCCCAAACACAAACATCCCTGTTGTAATCTGATCAGACACCTTAGTTTAAAGTCCTCCTCTCTATTATTGCTGATGTAATTTTGTTGAAGTGACCCTTAAGAAAGGTTAAAATCACAGCACTGCATCCAATCTATACTGATCACTGCAGCAAACCTGTAACCATGAAGCAGACCTTTGAACCGTCAAGATAAACTGTAACACAGGGTCTATTCAAACTGAACTGGAAGTAAACAAGGTATCCACATAACTCTTTATCCAGTCCTGTCAGTGCTGACTTTCTTCACTAAAGCCAGCTTTGCAGAATCCGAACAACAACTGAATGAGCAGAGTAAACTAGTGCAGCAAAAACAATCAATAGTCTCTCCCTGGCTCTCTTAATTCCCTCTCAACAGAGTAATTAAGATGAAGACATAAAACAAACAGAAAAGAACAAGAAGATGTGAGGCTAAAGTGGGCAAGAGAGAGGGAGAGAGAACATGTTACTCACTGAGAATCTGCAGGGTGAAGAAACAGCGGGAGGCAGTAGAGTATCTTTAGTGACAGGCAGGAGCCAGAATATATGACAGCTGACAACTAGCACATAACACTTTACTGGAGCACTAACCACCACTGTAACCAAACTCTAGGCTTTCCAATTTAGTTGGATTGCTTTGGATTGCTACATAAAATATCCATGTTTATGCTTTCCTGTACCTTGTTTGAAAAGTGCTTTATGTGGGACATCATAAAAGTTGACTAGAGGTTTACAGTAACCCTTTCTTATATGTGCTTTCACATTAACCGACTTGCAGTTTAGTTCCTAGAAGCTATAAAGAAATATTTTTGTGAGACACATTTTTCAACCACAAATAATGTCACCACACATCATTTTGACCCTCCATCGACTAATGGACATAGCGTTGTGTCACTACTTGCTGCTCCAATGCAAGCAGAGGGATCCATCCACAGGCCGGGGCTCACTGACAGCATAAACGACCAGTTTTGGAGACTTACGACTGACCAACTGTGTTCCAGCACGAGGAGCCCACAAAGGGCAGTGGACAGAGCTGACTCGGGTGTATGCTAATGGGGGTGTTAAATCTTACATCCAGATGGAGCTTGAATAACTTACTATGGCTATTAAGAGAACATGGAGGCCAGCCTGACCTTAGTCATACGCCTTCTTTTCCGCACAGATGAAGACTTAGAGCCGACAGTGTCCTTATTGTTCTAATATAATTTGTTAAAGGATGAAGCTGGAGATATTCTATAATTGTTCTGTCTACAAATATAATGGGAAGACTTGGACAACATTTTAACCCGTAACACTTTAATTCCATGTATTGACTAAGCCTGTTATGTTTTATTCCTCTGTGTTCTCCCCCAGTTTGTTAAAAAACAATTTAAAACACATACATGAGCTACACAGGACACTGGACAACACCTTCATTCTTAAATAGAAAATCCACATTCCCAAGACTCCTGCTGTAAATACTCAATAGAGCACTAAATAATATGTGTTAATCCACTTCTGAAAGTAGTCCCAGATAAAAACAATAGTAGCCCTGGTTTGAGTAACATTTGCTAAAAGCTGCAATGCTGACCTGTTATAGGATATTACCTTGTTTTTTATATTTTCATTAAAGTATATTTGTGACTACTAGCACTTTCTAAGTCTTGCAACTTCAGTAGGAATAAATAGGTTTGGGTTGAGTGTCGTGAAGTTCCAAAGTATTGGATGATGTACTAACACATTGTTGGTTGGTTTTGGTCTTTTTAAGGGTTTTGTTGAAAATAAGAATGTATATATAAAGAGAATATGCAAGTCTTATCATTTAATCCATTGGGGAAAAGACCATATTTTCCAAAATAAACTAATTTTGGTAAAACAAATTGAATATTATATTTGAAGATACCTGTTGTTTTGTGAGCAAATAAGAAATGTTACACTCACCTACACCTGCAACGGCAACAACCTCCAGCAGCAGACTGGTAAGCAACCATAAAACCATGATGCGCTTTTTAAATGTTTGCTGAATGATAGTTTGAGTATGCATGTCTGTGTAGCTTTATTGGTTCATCCTCTTATTATAGGCACCTCCTATCTGCATGTGTCATTTTGTCAGTCTGTCTCACCTTGACCTCTTGACCTTTAAATCCAGTGACAGGACCATCCTCCCATTGTTTGACACTATACAGTCCTCACATTCTCCTCCCTCCCTCCTTGCACACATGACCTTAAACTACACCAAACATAATCACTTTTTATTTGTTGCTGTCATGCTGTGAAAAAGTGAGATAGTGACTTTTAAACATGTCTTCATATCTTTTCTGACTCATCCATCCTGATTTAAAGGACGTGGAAGAACGAGCAATGATCTAATCTGCAGGAGCATTAAACCAATTTGATTGATCTGTTTAGTGTCATGCTGAGGCGTCTTTCACTTGAAGGCGATGGCAAGGTTTGCACACTCAGGATTCAGAACAGAGTAGTCTGAGGACACCCTGTGCCAGTAGACTGAATATGTTCTCATTTAGCTTATTACTTGACTACTAGTACTGGCCAGAAAATGACTAAAGCTTGGCCCTTTCCATTAAGAGTCATTTGTCTTATATGTAATCAAATCAATGGGGACATTAATCCAGGAGGCTGTTGGAGGGAATAAAGTGGAACTCACTGTACTTTTTATGTGATTAAATAATTTGGTTTTCTAAATATACTGACAATGTTTAGGTTTCTTGTAGTGATGTGTTGCAGTATCAGCGTTTTTTGTAGCCACTAGAGGCAAGGCATGTGGATGTCAATGTAAACGGTCATTTTGGACCACACTGAAATATGTTAAATCTGAATGGATTCTTTTTGTACATTTGTAAACACATATCATGGTCCACAAAGGCTGAAGCCTGTTACTTTGTTGACCTTTACCTTGCCTCTGGTGCCACCAATAAGGGAACCTTTTGGGCTTTAAGAGAAATGTCCAGTATTTAACAGAGAGTCATTCAAAATGTGCCGTTTAGTTTTTGATGTTATTATGTCTATACTTTATTCCATCGTTTTAAATATTGTAATGCCTAAACACACTGCTGCTCTTGTAACACAAGAATTTCCCGTTTTTGGATCAATAAAGTATCTATCTATCTATCATCTATTTAATTTGGTGGTTGTTCAAGTTGCCCTTAGGACAATTATGAAAACCTTGCCGATTCCCCAACCTTTCATCAAGCACCACGATCAGTCAAAATGGATGGCAAGATGGCAAAATTGGTAAAGATTTTACAAGGTATACATTAGCATGAATGATAGCATGTTGACATTAGCATTTAGCTATAGCATGTGCATACAAACTAGTAATGAAAAAAGCATTATTTAAAATGATATTTACCTTTTACTTTACGTTTAGAAGGATCTTAAATCTTCTTTCTCTTTCAATTCTTTTCCTAAAGTTTTATAAGTTTCTATTTTCTAGTAACTGTGCGTCACTTACCTATTGTATACAAACAGTGTATTCTCTCAGGTCTATCTCTTAGGATGTCCTGTAGAGGAAGAGCTGGAGGCCAAGGAGATCCGGAGATGGTGGTCAAGACCTTGAGAAGCTGCTTCATGTTAATTCCTCAAATATGACCATTAATCACTTCCAGTGAGAACACCAAAAACGTCAACTGGACCACCGTCTCCAAAAACTGGATAAGGATTTTATTGATAATTGAATTACATTTCTCTTTTATACATATTTCATAAATGATACAGGATTTTACATTTTTCTTTTTTGCCAACATTACAGCATCATGTCAACAGAAGAAAAACAGACAAGAAAAACGAAATAAAATTAGAGGTCAGAATGGAGTACAAGTTCATTTCAATCCCATATTCTGCGTCACTCTATAGGCATTTTAAAACATCTTATTGTAAGTGCAGACAAACAAGATATTCAAAACATAACACACTTTGAAAACATAGAATAATAATGTCGCTTTGGAGGAAAAAAGGCTGAGGGTGGATGAAAATGACGGGAGAGAGGGACGAGAATGGGAGGTGATCCCCGAAAAGCCTGACACTTTCTTTGGACTTAAATCCAGGACGTTAGTAACCGAGGTCATGAGGTCTCCTCCTTTACAGGTGCATCGAGGATGGAGGGTGTTTTATCCTTCCATTTGGGGAGTATTAATGCACTCTGAGGGAGGGGTTTATGGGAGTAAATAAGGTGAGGATGGGAGTGGGGTTTGAGCAGTTGGTTGGCTGGGATTTAAGTCAGATTTGGCAGGGCATTTCTAAAGTCGCAGCCCTGTCCACTGCCCTTTATATCTAGGAATCTCTACAAACAACGTTCTTAAATTATCTCTGCAGTTTATTTTTTTTGTTGATAAATCGTCTTTTTTATTTTCACATAATTTCCCATGTAAACATACATTCATGCAACACCCTCTTTATAATAAAGTTTCCCTATATTTGATATATTTAGCTTTTTAAAAAAGAAATGAGAAAAAAACAAGGCAATAAACGGTGGATGGCGTGATCAAAAGAGGAGGTGATGATGGAGAGTTGTGTGGAAACCGCAGAGGGGAGGATCGGACTGCAGACAGCGGCTCTCACCTGCCACAGCACATCTCCAAGGAAACACCAACGTCACTGTGTGTGTGTGTGTGTGAGTGTGAGTGTGTGTGTGTAATGGCTGCGATGAAGTGGGATGAGGGCGGAATTTATTTTCTACCAGTCAGTGATTAGAGGCAAAGGATTCATGAATGATCTAAACTTTGCCCACAATGCACCAACTTGTCAAGACGTGTATTAAACCAACACATGCATTCACAGGCGCACAATAAAGTTGATTTCCACTCTCAAAAATGTAAATGTAACCCTTCCTTTAAATAAAGGTGCATTCCAAATAAAAGATTGACTTTCTCAATGATCATATCATTGCTTTTCTACAGATAACTTAATTATTATCTACCTTTTAAATTATTAGTCCTCCAAGAGGCACCAATTTCCTTGGAGATAAAACACACATACACACACTAACAGATTTGACCAACTCCTGCCTTGAGATCTGCATGAATAACTTCTGATTTGACCTAAAATCATGCATTTTAATACAAAATCTGCAGTTAAACATGGATCTCTGCAGTAGGATTCAGCCGACTGTCCACACACATGCAGGATGTTCATGTTCAGGGGATGCCAAGTCATTGCTTTTCTGCAGAGGCCATCTACAGCAGTTATGGGTGAAGTCTTCAGAACAGAAAGCTAAGTAGAGCCAAACAACGGTTTATTCAGTGACTATCCCAAAATGGAAAAAATGTAACATATGGCTTCTGATTCAACCTCAATCAGGGGGGGATGAGACTTCAGCTAGATGTGGCAAAGAAAAGTGTCCAATTAAGTACAAAATTGCAATGCTCCTACACATTCACACATTTCTACTGAGGGCATACCACAGCATGCAGTCTACCCTGCCTTGCCTTCGCGGGAGCAGGGGGTTACAGCAACAGTGGGAGGAGAAAACTCAAAAAAAGCCTCTGTGAATAAATACCATGACACTTTTTCTTTTGATTCAGCCTTCTGTTACTTTGTCTATAAGCTTTGTGAAGGAGAATCCTATACAAATCTTATGTTGAAAAGCACATCACATGCTGCTAAGCTAAAGGCCAGGTCACTGAATATCTGGAAATGGTCATTTTTCACCTCCAAGAACGAGACTTTGGATTGGAAAAGGAGAAATTATATATATGATATTGTGGGGAAAGGATTGCAGGCGGATTACTCCTGCTGTATAATGAGGCTTTACTCGTTTCTAAAGCCACACAGTTCATCAGATATATAAACATGCCTGTGGGTTTATCTGAGACAATGGTCACTGCACATTTTAACCCCTTCATTAAGCATTTCCGCAGCATTTTTTGTGTTCGTGAGATGATTATAGAGGTCAAGCATGGCATTATCCACATCGACATTCTGCGTTGCTCAAAATCAATTCCGATCAGTCATTTTCACCCTGATTTCAACATAGATTCCCCCCCTTTGGTGGCCATGCACAGGAGCCTTACGCCCAACCAGGACGTAGTTAGTGTGAAATACATTGTGTGTTTGTCAGGACAAGATATGAAATAGTTAGTCGTGAATGCATACTTTATACTGCTGTGTGTGTGTGTGTGTGTGCGTGCGCTGGACTGTTAGCAGAGGACCCTTCATGGCAGAAGATCTCCAGAGGATGTCAATTAGTTTCTGATGAAATGATGTTTGTAAGAGAGCTCCTCCCCCCACTGAAAAAAACTAGCCTCTGGTCATCTGTTTATTTGATTGTATACATATATATATTTATATTCTTTTCATAACAAATATACTATGGCTTTCAAAATAAAAAGTGCCAAAATATTTTTTTCGGAGTAAAAGAACACACAGTGATGTTGTTGTCGGTAGTACTCTCATACTTGCGCAGACCCGGGCCGCTACAGGATGTCAACAGGAAGAGGAAACGAGGCGTCATCATGCCTATATCCTGCGAGGAAAGGTCACACTGGGAGGGACAGCTGTCCGTCACCTGGAGAAGGCGGGGCCCAGGGAGGGAGAGGCAGCAGAGTTCAGCCACAGGAAGACGGAGGTCCCCTGGTGGTGCGACTGCAGTCAGGACTTCCTTGTAAACGTGTGGGATAGAGACTCCTGCCCCAACCAAGAGAAGGTGTGTGTGTCGACAGTTTGACTGCGAGAGGAAGCCGGATTAAGCGGGTGTGTCGACCCTCGAATCGGCCAGGGTCGGTGTCCCATTGTACCCTGAAAGTCCCCCACACACACACACACACACACTCACTCCACAATCAGCGCCCCTCTGTGTCTAGAGGTGTGATAATGAGTCCCGTTTGCCCCCTGAAGTTCCCTGCAGGCTGTCCCTCCGGAGACTTGAGGCGTATCCATAGTGCCCAGTTTTATTCCTTCATCATCGTTGTCCTTTTCATCATCCTCACCCTTCCTTCGGCTGGGAGAGTTTTTTCAAGTTCCCGGTACTCTCGCCATCCTATCTTCGAATTTTTTTTTTTAGCGGTTATCCTCTTGCAATTCCAACTGGAGTTTTCAGTCAGGAAAGAAAAAAAAGAAAAAAGAAGGAAAAAAAAAAAAAGGGGGAAAAACTAACTCACAGTCGAGAAAGGGATGGGGTTATTGGGTGTGGGAGGGATGGGGGAGGGAGGGAGGAGTTGGAGGAGAGAGTTTGGGGTAAATTGGGAGGGAGGAGGGTGTTGGACGGAAGAGAGAGGAGGAAAAGGAGGTTGCAGGAGTTGAGAGAGGAGGGAGTCACTCTTCCCATCAATCTTTACTGGAGGTGAGCTGCTGGACTGGGAGCTGGAGCTGGAGCGGGTCCCGAAGACGCTTCAGATCCAACTCCACCTGGGGGGGGGGGGGAGCCGAGGAGAGAAGAAATATGAGAAGGAAGTGTGTGGGGAACTGGATGAAAACATGTCTTTGTACAGCAGTTACAGTATTGAACTGTAAAAATGTGAGAATCCCCAGTGTGACACATTTTACATCACAAGATATCTAGCAACTGTACCTCAGCAATATCATCCTTCAGCTGGTTGTACTTCTCGATGTCAAAGCGTGTCCTTTTCACCCCCTTGTGGAAGAACAGCAGATACTGTCTGTCTCTAGCGTCGGGGTAAATATACTCCTACAGGTTATGGAGAAGCACAGACAGAGCAGTTTGTAAGAGAAACACGATTATCAGATCATATCGTCCATGTTCTGCTTGCTGTTACTTGGGTCAAATCCCAACACGGAGAAATGCAACATAAAATGGACTCTGTGTCCTTGGGAGTTAGAAGACAGCGGATATTAATGAATGCTTAGTGAAGGGCAACACTGCCACCAGACCAGCCTTGTAAATAGCTAAAAATAATACTAATTAATGCAGGGTGCAGCTAAGAGAGAATCCCATTACCGTAATGCTTTGTTCTCTGGTTGCTCAAAGAGTTTCTGCAGAATGTCATAGAAGACAATTTCTCTACAGGAATCGATAGTGTCACGTTATTTGGATAGAGAAAAAAAAAAAAACAGCACTGTTCCCACTAGGTTATAAATAGGATTAATGTGGTGATAACCTTACGATGAATCAGCTAAACCTTTATATACATAATGTCATTAAATACAATTTATATAAGTTCAGATTGCTTTTTTTCATTGGCAAAAGTTAAGAGGAAGCATTACCTTATATTGAAGAAACCTGAGCTACAGAAACTTTGGCCTTATTTTCTTTATTATATATTTTAAAGGGGCCGTATTATGCGTTTTTATAGGTTGTAATATAGGTTTTTATGAATGCCTGAAACGCCTCAATTGGAATCCTTTATTTACTTCCCCAACATAGTGGCATCACTACATAACACTCGCCCTTCAGTTGGCAAGCACTACAACACATTGTACGCGATAGGCTAAGGGGTTAGCCAACTGTTGACCAATCACAACAGAGTCAGCCAGCTAACCAATCAGAGCAGACTGGGCTCTGGTTTCAGACAGAAGGGGGAAAAGTAAGGGAAATAAATCACTTTGAACATTAAAGCATGTAAACATGTCAAAGCAGAGGCACAAAATACAATCATGAAACCTAAAGATTAGTAAAATAGGGCCCCTTTAAATAGAATAGTCTGGATTTTTTAAGTGGGTTTATAGGGTGTACAAAGCCCTTCTAACTAAAGCTCCAAAGCGCCCAGAGTACTTGTGCAATCACAATATTTATCTCCTTGCAGAACATGGCGGTTACTGCAACCATTAGTAAGATTGAGTAATTGTGTGACTTTGGTGAGTTCAAACCAATCCTTTAAATCAACAAAGTAACACAATAAGTAATACTACGCCTGCTATGGACAAACACCTCATACTGTACAACCCCAGTTCACAACACCCACATAGCAAACAAGACAATCAATAATTGATTGTTAAGATTGATGTCATCATAACATTCCTCACCCTCACAGCAGCAGAAGATGCAATCAAACTTCACTTCAATCATTAATTATGCATACTGTATATATTGGTGTGTTTGTCTTGTTTTTTTCTCACCTGGCGAGTAAGCACGTAGTAGGCGTACATGAACATGGCCGTGCCGTAGGTGATAAAGTAGGTGACGGGCTCCATGATATCCCAGGAGTACTCCCACCAGGTGAGTCGGGCCAGTACGCCAAACTGGGTGGCCATGTACGCCATGCCCCCCCACATCACCAAGGTGGTACGCCGCTCTGCCTTCCTATTCAGATCCACCCTCATCTGCGCAGAAGTCAACAACAAGAAGAACAAAAGAGTCAGCTGGATCAAAAGGAGGCCCAAAGGCAGCCATGATTAGACCCTTCAGAGACCCTTATCCAAAATCAGGTTGGCTCAACTCAGACTTTGAGCGGTAATCCTTAAAGGCTGATTGGAAAAAAGGCCTGATATCTTGAACTAATGCAGATGAGAGGAAATTCGGAGTAGCTCCTTTGGCTTTCACTGAGCAAATTGTTTAGTTGCCATGTCACCTTCAATTATTTATCAAACACTTGGTTGGCTGGTGAAAACCCTTGTGATTATTCATGAGTCTAGTAAAGAGGAGAAATTAACTTGTGTAACCAACAACACAAATATCAGAACAGTTGAACTTGTTAAGGAAGTCAGACCTTCTCTAAGGGGCGGAGTTCAGAGTTGAGGTCCTCAAGTCGTCCAATCAGCTCGCGTTCCTTGCTGAGTTGGTGCTCCTCGATGCGTAGGGTGGTGTAGAGCTGCTGCACCAGAAACTTGACGTCATTCAGCCTCTCTCCCTCTTCGTGGGGTAGTAGCTCTGAAGGAAATGCATTCACATAAACAGGCTTTAATACAACACATCTGCTGGCAATAAAACAATTACTCTCCCCTAGATCTCTTTGACAGTCCTCACCTCTCCGTGCTGGTCGCACAAGGTGTGTGGTATCGTTGATGACAAGCTTGAAATCATCCAGCAGCAGGATGTCTATTCCTGTGGAGGAGGCGACCCTCGCTCCATCTGCAGAGAGAGACAAATGTGAAGAGGGGGGCGGTGAGAAGAAGGAGCGCTGATGGGTAACCACTTCCAACACCCTCCACGTCTCTTGATAATCAGGCTGTCCGATTATCATGAGAGTGGAAAGGGAGGGCACTTACACACTTAAGAGTAAGATATCAAGTGTGTATATGAACAACCTGCTGGGGTAAATGGATGCAGCAGGAGTGTGTGTGTGTGCAGTACTTGTGTGTGTGTGTGTGCGTACCCGTGGAGTAGATGGCTACGCGGTCGATGCCTCTGTCCTCGGCCTGGAGCTGTTGCAGGAAAACTCCCACACTGTCGCTGAGAGGCTTGAGGGTGAACTGACAGCGCTCTCGCCGGGACGGCAAACTGACTGAGATCACCGGCAGCCCGTTCTGATACACCACTGTCACCTCTTTGAGGGGGGGGGGGGCACGCAAGAACATGACAATTTAAAATGACACCTGAAGGTGCAGATGAGCTATAATGATAACTCTGCTTCTAAACATAACACAATGTTCAATGCATTTATTCAACGTAAAATAAATGACGTTAACCTAAATTCCTGTACTATGACCATATCTTTCACACATTGCCACACATTAAATGCCACACGATATATATTACTCATATAGGAGTAAAGAAAGCAGAACATTATTCACATTTATAAGCTAGAATCAGATTATTTGGACTTGGAAAATTACTCAACAACGATAAATTGACTATCAGAATAGTCAGCAATTATTAAAGTTGACATGTAATAAACAAATGGATCTATATTAGTAGCACTTACTGAGATTGTGTTAAATGCATACAGTATCTGCAAACTTATTCAGACTTATTCGTAAATCCTGCATAAATCCTGATTCAACAGACTAAATCTCAAACATCAGTGCTCCCACACAATAAACAAAGAAATACACTGACAGCTGTTTTTGCCCAGAAATAGGCATAATGTCGAGTGTCAGTTGTTGAAAATCAATACGGCATAATATTGCTAACCTTTCCCTCAGAGAGCTGTTATGTCGATTCCTTGATGCCAACTATTGATATTTTTTACTCTCATAGGAAGACCTCCAAATGATGCGTGTGTGCTGGGACTGACCATCAGGAAGACCCACAATGCATGAAATGATTTGGTTTTTCATAGCAGCAACAAAATAAGAAGAATGAAATGAACGAGTCCCTGGGACTGAACTGAATGTGTTTCAGTTTTAAGTGTGCAGTTCCTTCTGTGCTGTAGCACAACCCTAAGAACTTGTGTTTTATGTTTGAGTTTCTGCTTAGTGGCACTATATTTTTCTGTAATCCAGCTCTTATGGTGCGTAACCAAACTATGGTTATAATGAGGGCACACAGCTGTAGCCATTACCGTGCTGAGTAGCCCCAAATGACAGAGCCATGAATCAATGGAGAGGGGTGTGTGTGTGTGTGTGTGTGTGTGTGTGTGTGTGTGTGTGTGTGTGTGTGTGTGTGTGTGTGTGTGTGTGTGTGTGTGTGTGTGTGTGTGTGTGTGTGTGTGTGTGTGTGTGTGTGTGTGTGTGTGTGTGTGTGTGTGGAGGTAGAGGTGATTTGAGCTGCCTTGTTGCTGCTGCACCCAACAATGTGTTCCTGCGTGCCCACCGCAGTGAATCAGCAGATCTGTGCTTGGGCTCAGAAGGGAATCAGCCGTCAAGGGCCTCTTGACCGTGTTCAAAGACGCAGAGATGCAGACATTTTATTTCATCCCACTCCTCTGTTATGGGGACTATTTGAAACATTGTCCCCAGTGTCACAGCTGCACCTGTTCCCTGTGTGAAGGTCCTATCCTACATTTATAAAGGAGCACTTTTAAAAACCAGCATGTTCTGCAGTGCTGCCTCCTCCTCTCACCCCCAATTCTCTCCTCCTCTTCCCTCTGGTTAACGCTCTCCATCTCTCCCGCCTCTCACACAGATGAGCAGATGCTTCCCCGAGACAGATTCCATATTAATGAGTTCTGGCTGTTAATTCCAAACGAGCCTCGGGTCGTTGTCTGATCAATGCGGAATTCCTTTAATAACAGAACTCATTTATCTCGAGCGAGGAGAAAGAGGCTGGATTTGGGGGAAATCCTTGATATTGCTGGTGTGGACAGAAATAAGGTGAATGAACTAGGATGAGGACTTACCGTCTGGAGTGGCGGAGGAACACAACAGTCTCTGGCCGTGCCATGTGGGGGCGCCCCTCCAAACCTGCAGGCAGAAAAAGAGAAGGGCAGAAAGCTGTTATTTTCCATTTGTACACAGATTTTTTATATCTAATGTTAAGTGTGACGGTGTGACACTCGGCAACATGACTTTACTCTGTCCCTCTGATTCTTAATGTGCAGGACTGACTGTGTATTACGTTACAAAATGGCTTCCCTTTGTGTAAGTTTCTAGAAATGTTCAGACATTCAGGCCCCACCCAAGAAGTGCAGATCCAACTGCAGCTTCTCGGTCACGGAAATATTTTACAAAGGGGATGACGCATCAAAAAACCCACATCTATATACACCAGTACTCGGGCACAGAAAAACCCCACTTGGAGGAATCCACCACAGTGGGAGACACAGAGAGAAGGCAGCCAAATGCAGCATGAATGTATCGCAGCATGAATGTATCTCAGTATAAATTCTCCAGTTGTGTCACAGCCTGGAGTTAGTGAGTGTGTGAGGGAGGGGGGAGGGAGGGAAGAAGGAATACAAACAGAGGAGCAGAGCTTGGGGAAACCCTCTTTTTTTTCTTCTGTTGCTAGTGTACACCCAGCAAAGTAGGAGTGTCGGCACATGCTTCGAATTACAGGACTCGTCACGTTTTATGCTGAGCGGCGATGAAGCATTATCGTGCTGCCAGATCTCCTCACACTACACAGAAAGATCAGAGATGAGGATATCGAGAAGAAGAAAGAATGCCAGGGGGCGAAAACAGAGATTCATTTTTAGTTGTGTGCACAAACGCAGACACAATTCGCTTTTACACCTAAAAAAAAAGGATCGGTTTCTCTTCCAATTTGTCGTGGTTTGAGCAGGGAACAGGGCGTCTTGCACACCGTCAATGCTTTAAAACAGATGGTTAACAGATTATCAGATTTATGACATGCACACAATCTGACTGTCACTCAGTCAAAATCCAATGTTCTTCACTAACATATCCTTTAAGACCCAAGACTACTGACAGTTATGGATTGAACAGTTATCCCAGGGGAGAGCAGGTGTATATGCAGGGATGTGTGCACTGAAGTGTATATGCTGTCACTGCGAACATATGCTTCCTGGAATCGGAGAAGTGAGCAAAACACAAGCAACCTGAATACCTGTCTACCTATCACGGCATTTATTCACTAGACAGCCAGAAAATGGTGGACCACCGCAGTACAGATGTCCTGTGATACATGCGACAACAAAGGAAACTCAAGATGCTATATCCATCGTATGACACATGAGAGGGCACAGTGACTGCATGGACCTCAACAAGTATATCATGTTTTATTGGCGGGTCACCTTTCTATAGTATTCTCAAAGCCTTGTATGGTTCATCCTACAATATAGGCAGACAGTGTTCAACTTCATGCAAAATTGACAAAATACGATTTGTGGGGGAAACTTCTGCGTAGCAATGCAGTGGGAGTCACCGACTCAGGAAGGAGACACGGTGAGAGTTGGAGCTTTTGATGTCAAACACTGATGGGTTCATTCAGAGTATCGGCCGGAGGATTCACATCACAAGTCAAAGAGTCAGAGGTTCTGACTTCACGGTAGAGTTGCCACGTCAATTCTGAAGAGCCTCTCTCTATGCTAGACCTTTTAACTGGTTCACAGAGAGTAATCAACATCTCTGAAGGAGTAGACTAAACAGCTGGGAACAATGAACCACTTGCCCCCCGACACTCATGGCCTCAAAGATTTCACACCTGAGAGTCCACAAACACTGATAAAGAAGTGCCTCAGCGTTCTCACAACAATTACCATTCGTGCCAGACAAGTTGACCGGTCACAAACTGGTAACAACACATATGGCACCAATGCCTTTCCTTAAAGGAGATAACAGACGTCAGAGTAGATCATAAAACGTCACAGAGCAAAAGGTTAGATATCTAGAAGAATTATTCCTTAACACGATATGTCAGGGAAATCAAGCATCTACCTGACAAACACTCTTGGTTAAAGACCAGGATGTCGATCAGAGAATGTGTCTGCCAATCATCTCATCTCCGTTGTGGAGGGGTCAATGTTAAGATAAACACAAACAACTGTCCCTTAGAACCATGAAAAATGCTGTGAATTGTCAATAGCTGCCAATGACTGATATGAATTAGTAACGAGGTGCTAACAGTCTGTTGTCAGTTCTGGATCTCTTCACTGCTGTTTTTTCTCCTCATCCTCAATGCAACACTGCCTATGCGCCACACAGAGGCTCAGTGAGGGGCCACAGACGGAGGGCTTGCTGATATACACATTTGTAGTGTTCTTGCTACATCAGAAATCAAACGATTCTTGAAAACTTTATTTTCTATTTTTGTAAAAAGCAGAGATTAGAAAATGTGAAGCAGTGATGCAGATCCACTTTAAACTGAGCTCCAGAGATGTGTATGTGTCCTCACTTCAGGATTCTTAAACTTGTGTCTTTTCCAAACCATTAGGCCAAAGACGACAGATCTGTGTGTGTGTGTGTGTGCGTGTGCGTGTGCGTGTGCGTGCGTGTGTGTGTGTGTGTGTGTGTCCTAAATGAGAATGCTAAATGATGTCCCGTGGCACCAAGCAGAGCCCAAATAGGCTGCTGATCAGATGACATGCTGAGAGGCGTTTTGGCCGGTCTGGAATATCTGCACAGTCTGCACTGCTCCGCTCGTTCATTAACTTCAGCTGCTTGAAGCCTGGAGGAAAGATGTCGCCAAAATACCCTCAACATCTAGGGGGCTGGTTTGCATGTACACCCATTAGCAGAATGACATGTACATGTGAATGTACCTCTGTGTGCAGGTGGTGTGTGTGTACAGTATGTGTTTGCGTCCACCCGTCTGTTCACCAGCCTGTGTGTCAGCGGTAGTTGCAGAACGCCTGAGCGAGACCCCCCCCCCTCCTCCTCTCCCTCGGCACACAGCCACTGAAACGCTGCCTGAAATATTTAACAGCGAAGCAGCAGTCAATAGCACAGCAACCTTGGAATCAATGTCATACGGGTAAGAGAGGGAGAGGGTAAGAAAACGGGCAATCGACGTCGGCTTTGGAAGATGGACAGATGAGCTGCAGGAGTGAAAGAGGTGTGGAGGAGTAGAGGAGAGAGAATGCAAGGATAAATGGAGCGGCAGCAAGGGAGCGATGGAGATAAATGAAGACTGGAGTAAAACGGTGTGATTCACAAAGTGCATTTCTAACCATGTGCTGCGTATACTGTACCCCGCAGCAGACACAGACACGTGACTGCACCGTGTGAGTAGTATGGTGGCAAGAAAAGAGAGGTGAAGGGAAACAGAGGAAGGGAGGGAGAGATGAGAAGAGGGAGTGTGATGAAAAGCAGAGGGAGCGAGGACAGGAGCAGTAGACTTGCTGGGAGGAGAGGAGGGGGGGGGGGCTGCTGATCACTGCAGTAAAGGAATCCCTCGTCTAGAAAGGGGGGTTGCCCCTCGTATTCACCCTCCCTCCCTCCCTCTCTCCCTTACTCGCACTGAATCCTGGTGTGCTAGTTTTGATCTACTCTCAATTCTCATCTGCACTGCGCTTTAATTTCCTCTGCATCTCCTCATACCACGTGTTTCCTTCAAATTAAAAATGAACAATCCTCCATTTAAAACCCACTTTCAGGGGGGTACATGCAAAGCCCACAGGGACCCAATAGATCAAACAATATTTTCTGTGGGAGAGGAAAATACATTTGATACACTGAGGAAAATATAAAGCTTCTGAGTAGAGGTCCATACTGAGTCCTTCCCTGCTCTCACGTCACGTAGATACAATATGGATCTGCAGTAAAGATAAATCATGCTGAGAGTACAACAACGTAACAATTTCACAAAGAGGTGCCAGGAAAAAAGAAAATCCACACATCATATAAACCCAGGGAGGGATCGGCACACAACCTTTGAGAGTGAAGCCGCTGCAGCTCTGCCTACTATCAATATCTCCCTATGTGCAAACGTTTGCCGGGTCAAATTCCAGCAACACGACTCAGATCCTTGCTCTCATTTCAGTTCAGATTATGTGTGTGGAGAAATGTGCACAATTTACCAGTCTCCACCTCCTGTTAGCAGAGCAGCTCTCAGTGTGGACTGCCAGTGTTGTTCAGCCAAAGCTAAAAACAAACTGGGTTATTTTAGCACATCTCGGCAAGAGTCAAATATATGACGTCTTCTTTTTATGTTAGAATTCTCTATTTGGCTAGAACCCACTATGTATACAGTCGATTTTTTCCATAGCTATCCCAACGGCCCTGCCATATGAACTCAAGCACCCCTTCACTGACACCACCTGTCAATCATCTTAAACTGGATGCTGGTCATATGAAAGAAGATATCATACACTAATGTTTTCATAGTCTGTTTGGACCTTATGCACACGGAGGACTTTTCAACCTTTAATGCCTTACTTTAAGTTTACTTTTTGTAAACTGTTTATTTATTACTTTTAGTATATATCCCAAACATATATCTATTACTTTTGTCAACACATAGCATATATACACACTGCCACTTATTTTAGCTATGTTGTAATGGCTGGATCTGAACACAAAATGACAGCAGTTTTAAAAAATCCCTTTTTGCTCATAATACATCCTTTTATTTTCCAGAAACACCACAGGGGAGATTATGCCAAGCATGGTATACCAATGTGTATGGCAGGGTTTCCGTTAGCCGGTAATTACCGTTTTTTAGCTGGTAACATTTATTAAAAACAGGTCAATTCAAAACCTGCCGGACAAAATGTCCGGTAGTAATTAGGGATGCTCCGATCGATTGGCCGCCGATCATTATCGGCCGATATTCACTCTTAATAGTTTGATCGGTGCTCTCTATAAAGGCCGATCAGGAGGGCTGGATCTGATCGATATGGACATAAACGCGAGTGAAGCAGTGACGTGCGGTGAGGTTCATGGCTGGTGAGGCACTGAGTCAGATTTACAAATATTATATTTTGACCTTAATCGAAATATTCGGTTATTTTCAAAAGCTTTTTTAGTCTGATGCTTAGATTCATTTTAAACAGACCGTTCAACAA